ACGAGACAGTCGATATAAACGTATCGAAAATCATTTTTCTCGGAATTACAATAGATAAGGTTATATTATAATTTATCGTACGATTGGAATAGACCTCCTGACATTTTTCACCACGATGATTACATGATTATTGATTAGTATAATAATATATTAATATACCGTCTATCTATTTTGTTTTAATTACAATAGTGTAATATACTTGGCTCTGAGTGCTCTGACTGACATTAAATTCGTTCTATTCCGAGTTAAGGGATTACCTATCACAAATCACAATAGTATATATTATTTTCTATAATATATAGATTTAGAATAATTATTTTGAGAAACCTCTGCTACGGCCAGTGCTGATTTTGGCATTTGCCATTATATTATTATTAGCTATACATATGTGAGTCAAATAAATCATACATACATACACTATATTGCATAATATAATACCGTACCGCTGTAGGTTGTTGGTTGTATCACAATATTCACAGGTCATTTGCAACGTTTGTTATTAGTGCTTTAGCTTTTGACTCGGTCTTATCCGAACGAAATGTGTATGGCTTGACAATGACAGAAACGAACCTAAATAAATGCATACGCACACACGCACATATTGCAAACTTCTGTGGTATTAAATTACTTTAAAAAACCTAGCAAAAATAAATATTCATTTATTTTAAAAACTAATTGCGGGTGCGTTTCTAGGACATTTGACCTGCATTTAACACCACAACGTACCTGTATGCGCACATGAGTAATTTACGTCGTGTCAGCTAGACGCCTGTAATCTATACGTATTTCGAATCATTATAAATTATTTTAATATAAGTACCCCATATAGGTACTGTAATGTATCAATTCCGTTATGACAATAACACTTATTTTTGTAATATTATCGTTGACGAACTACTAGCAGTTACTCAATTACACACCCTTTCAGTTATACCCAAAGCGTATCCAAAGACCAAAATTCCAAAGTGTGGTGTTTAGGCCACGATTCCAAAACTAAAAGTGAAACATAAATTTGACGATTATAAGTCATGACGCGAACACTCATAATCCAGAAAATTATTTACGTTTTAAATTCTGTTAAATAATTTGAAATCATTTTTAAAAAACATTTTAAAAAAAACTATATATTAACTATTTTTATCGTTGTAATTTTTTTAAATTTTATTTTCTTATATGACAACTTTCATTTTTAATTTCATATTCCGAAGAAGAGTATTTTCCTGGTAATTTGTGTGCATTAACTTCGAATACCAAACGTGTAGTTAATAAAAAGTATTTACATTTTATAAATATGGTTAGGCGCTGTATTATAGGAACACCATTTTGCAGGGTACCCCGTCTACCACCGAGAGAAGCCATAGGTTCAACCAATATATTTAAAAAAAATAATACCGGCAATGTAATGTTCTATAGTGTAATTGTACCTAAAAAATTCCCATCAGTCTTTATAACCGTAAGCAATGTGGGGATGGCTAAATTTCAGTTTGTCCAAGGCCACTCCTGCCCTTTTAATTGCACCAATAAATTCTGAGTGCGAGTACTCCGAAATTTCCACAATTATTGTTGTGCCACTGATCTTTGTTTGTCAATATTTAATTATGATTCTTTACCAGCATTTTCCAAGGTAAAGGTACCTGCAGTAGCTATACATTAAAGCAACCTGAGGCGAAATATTTATTTTGCCCACTGAACTGAATACATATATTCAGCTCAGTAATTTTGCCCCTGTAATACAAATTACACTCTTTACGTTTATACTGATTTCATTTTAACCATAATATGTCTAGCATATACTTGACTATCAAAATGTGACATTAGCTCGTGAAGGTGTTAAAATACATTTTTATTTAATTTTACACACATTTTATATACAAACTAAATGCCGAAGAACTTTATTTTTATTTTTAAAATGCATTTTCCCATGAGCACTCCCGAACCACTTACCGTTTTTTATTTGGTGTAATATTTAAGTTCTTTAATTGATATGAACAAATATATATCCTTTTGCATTCAACCCCAAATATAGACTGCAGTCTCCGTTTCCACTACAACCTAATACATTTTATATCTAATTTTATTTTATTTCCATTTTAAAATGAATTTGCCTACGGGCACCTATATTCCTCCCGCCATCTTTTTCTTCGTATATTACTATAAATCAATTTATTGTATGTACTTTTTCCAGCCAATCCCATCATGTCACATCTGAATATTCATTAAATGTTATTTGTTTTTTATAACTAAAAATTCACTTACAGACTACAGTCTCCACCTCCACTAAAACATACTTGTATACTTAATAGTTAGTTAAATGTTTTTGTTTTAGATTCTGAGAGGAGCAATGAATGTATTGATTTTACAATGATGTGTGTGTTTTGTATGTTTTTGTAGTTCTATCTGTCATCACTTCATCATCTTTAGGGGGCAGCAAAAATACTTTTATTTTCTACTTCAGCGTCTTTTCTGGTAAGAAAGTGAATCTATTTGAAATTTTGGCTATCAAAAGTAAATAATTCATAGACATTTTCAAAAGCGTCAAGAAAAACTGTAATTTTTTCGGAAAACTAATTTTCGATAAAATCGATTTTATTTTTATGATGTAACTTAAAAACTAGTAACCGTATCATCAAAGGTGTATAATATATACATTTTTCGTACATATTAAAATATTCCAAATATTTTGACTCTGAGTTTTCTTACATCCATGAGAAATTGTTTAGTTTTTTTAGTTTTTTTCATGTAAATAATTTTTTTTATGGTCAAAAACTTGAAAATTTATAATACAAGGTTCTTCCGTAAGTTGTCCGTACTCAGTTGTAATCAGTGTCATTTAAAAAAGTTAGGAGTAAATCTTCAATAACTTTTATGAGCGTTTGAAGTTTAAATTTTTACGACATTGGATATAATTACATCCGTAAAATAACGATTCTCTTATTTTGTTGTAAATCAAAAATAAATTACTGTAAATACTTGACATTTTCACCAAATGTATATTTCATCATTTTCTATGTACATGGTTAAATTATATGGAAAATATGTTGACTCTTTTTGAGACATTTATAGGCATGAGACATTTTCGATTATGTATAGTTTCTTAATTCTTTTCCAATTGTTGCCGGTAAAAATGTTTTGATTGGTGAAATAAGTTGATGATTAAATGATTTAAATGCAAGATCCCATCTAAGTTTTTCATAAAGCTGTAAAAGTTAGTTTAGATAAGATTTTATGAACAGTTGAAATTCAAATTTTGACAAAATTATTCAATATCACGAACATTATTTTAGCTAAAAAATTGTGTTTAATTATCAATTTAGTAGTTTTTAATAAGTTTCTCAAATGTTAATATTAGAACTAAAAAATCATTATAAACACGGTTTTTTTATAGACATTTTAAGTTCAACTTTGATTTGGTTAGATATTTAAACGAAAAATAGGGGTATTAATCATTACGTTGTAATTCAAAAACATTATTTTTGAAGAACTCGAAAAGTCAACAATTTTAGGTATGTTATACATTTTACTAGGTATATGCAATGACATTTTCAAAATATACCCATTTAATAATGAATTAAACCATAAACTTAATCACACTGTTCTACGATAACCTGGTATTGACTCAAAATCTAATAACAATAATATAGCATTATAAATATAGGTATACACATACACTTTTAAATAACTAAATATTAATTAACATAAATGCAATATTTACGGCAAACATTAAATCAACCCATCATAAAACTAACAGTAGAGACTTACTTTATTAGCATTATCAAAAAACATACGAAATATATAGTATAAGCTTGATATATGGCTGACAGACCATCTCCACTCAAAATCGTTTTTTGTATACAATGATACATCATTAAATTCAAATTCAACGCATTCATTACAGTGACTGTCAGTGATCCAGTTCACTCAGACCAGTTGACACCTACAGTACGGCCGACTAAATGTTTTTAGTATTTACTTGCAGATGCCCCCAGACCCATTCCTGTTTTTTTCCCTATATTATTATGGTTCTTTAATTTTGTATACATTCATAAAGTTTTTCCTCTTCTTAAAATGCATTAACCTTATAATTTTTTCATATACCTAGTATTTTAAAGATCGAAAAAAAATTATTTTTTATACACTTTTTATACTTTTGCTTTTAACCCCTTACTAACTTTTGATAATATTTTTTCTGTTTTCTCTTACAAATCTCATCTTTTAAGTTCGTTATTAATTTAGACTGCATAATGCTGAGTGTATTCATTTTTTTTTAAATACTTTGTTCCTTATGAATATGCATACCTACAACTTACATATTGTTAATAATTTTTACCAGCGTCTCTGAAATAAAACTGGATTCGCTAGTCCACTATTGTGGACTAGTTGGGATATGTTTTAATTTTATTCTTTTATGAAATCATAGGTTTTTAAAATAAACGAAATTGTTTAGCGTATACAATATTTAAATATATTTCCTATAGGTTAGGATAGGACACGAGTGTCCGTGGGCGAAATATCGGGAGGAGAGGTTATTCAAAACTTTATTCGATTTTCAATATTCAGATCTACCCATCACTTCAGGTACCTGTGAATTAAATATCTAAAACATATAACCATACCTAAATCTAGACAGTATAATACATCATAGTCTAGGTTTAACAGTAGGCATCTAACAAAACTCAATATTATGTTCGTCTCCCAACACCCCTCCCCAGCAACTCGCTAAATGCCATTAAATAAAAAAAAAATCCACGTGGATCTCCGACATACTCACCGTATACAATGTACACGAGTAATTTCTGAAAATCTGGAGGACATGAAAACCACTACGAAAAATGTACTCGCCTACACATCATCGCGCGTTCTCGTGCACCTACCTACCCGGTACCGAATTTGTCGTAGCTGCGTTTTCCGGCGCCGTTTGCGCGGCAGCCCGACAGGTGGCGTTGTCGGCGGCCCGCGGCTCATCTGATAAGGTGTAGTAGTAGTAGTAGTAGTAGTAGTAGTTGTTGTTGTTAACGTGAAAAAATTGGCTGGTCGACGACTGCCGCTGCTGGCGAGGTGCGCGGTCGAAGTTCTTGTAGACTGCTCTTGCCGTGCGCGTCGCCTCGACGTGTGTTGTGATCGCGTTTCCATAAAAAAAAATATAGGTAATGACATTATTTTAACGCTCTCGTGTCCGCACCAGCTCACCGATTGCCGATCATTGTTACCATTATTATTATCGCTATTATCGTTGCGTTTGCCGTTACGTACAAAAACGACCGCGCATTCGTGCAATGTTACAATTTCACAGTCGTTATATTTTGTAAAGCCGATACCCCTTTGACGGTACCTGCTCTTGGTTTTTTAATTTTATTCTCCGCCTGGTAGGTAGGGACTCACTACGTATTCGATTCGCGATTGTCGTCGTCGGTCGATCGATATGCCTTCAATCGCTTGATCCGTCGTCCTCGCGAGAATTCCCATCGGTTTTCGGACTCGATCTGACGCAGAGAAAAATGGTAAATATCCCGAGGAATCGTACCTAGGGTACTTACCTACACTACCTATCGATTCATTTCTTCTCGACATTTTAACTTAATTTTATTTTTTGTGCACTAGACCTGCCTAAATCATTACCTACTTAGTACCTAATTATTTGTGTCATGCACCTTCTCCTCAAACATTTCCATTTGTTTGTTTTTCCTCCCTCACCCAGGTAACACAAATTTGCAATGCATTAATTCTTCTTTTCTACATGTTGACACAGGACTTAAGCGGTTGCGTTGTTGGAGCTCAAACCAGTGGTGGATCTAGTCAGATTTAGAAAACTACGGGTCATCCAACGTCAATAGTTTTTAATTTGACCCATCAAGAGAGTAATGTTCTGAAGCTAAGAGGGGCCACTAGCATTTAGTAGATCTAGGTACCTATTAAAATCATATATCACTATAGATTTGCTGACCTCCTCAACCCCTCCATAGATCCACCACTGATTGAAACCCAAATTGTCACTGGGTATGATAATTGTTATCTAATTTTAAAATTTTGTGAAATATATTATTTTCAACAAAATGTAAAAAAAGTATATGATTGCATGAAAACAAAATGTTTTATTTCAAACATACGTCAAATTGAAAATGTTTCAATTGTTCAATACTGAAACACCTGCATGTAATACCCTGTATTCACCTTCATATGAATAGGCAGTTAAAAGTTCTTGTATTAATATTTATACAGCTGCAGTTGTTCTTATTTAATTTGTCTTTTTAATTTATGCCTTCTTTGAAATAAAACAAATATGTGCACGTCATTTTTAATTTATAAATGTATGAATATTGCTTTAATTTTACAATGTAAAAACATCCAACATTGAAATTGGTTTTTGTTCAAACTTTTATTTTAGTAAAACAGTAGTTAACTTCTGGTTTAACTTTAAACATGTATGTCTCAATTTAAAAATTTGAATACCTACCTATATTGCTATTTAATATAGTTGTTAATATAATTGCTAGATTCCTAAAACATAGTTCACTTTTATTCAAAAATTCTCATTCTTAAATAGTATTTGCCCTAATTATATTTTGTATATTTTTCTATTTTAAATATCCTATTAAGAGAATGTCAGCACACTATTTATTTTCTCTCTGACCCACATGTTACAAATTTGCTTCAGCAGAATCTTGTGTTGTAATTTTTAAGGATTTGAGCTTATGATCAAACTTAAAGTTAAGAGCATTATTCATCATTGACTTTTTTAAGATATTTCAATTGCTATGTAAATTATGAACATTTAAAATATTGAATATTACAACTTAAAAATGCTCATATATTGCAGAAAAATTTAAGTATCATAACAGTCTGCATACAAACACAGATAATGTGTCATTATAAGTTTCATAATATGTCAATACACATTACTATTAATGCTAATAACACAAAACTGGTTTTGAATGCCAATTTACTATGTAGCATGTAGGCCTGAGATAGACAATAAATAGGGCACTGACATCCTTATAAGTACAAAATATGATATTTATATAGATAATAGATTTTCCATGAATTAAAATGAATGGTTGTTTGATTATTACATTTTTTTGTTCTCTTAAAACCATATAAGTAAATTGATTTTATTACTTTTATTTTTATTTGATTTTATAATTACAAATGAAATGTTAAATCTGCTTAGATTTATACTACTTATTTACACATACATGAGTGTTTCTTAGAAAAAATAACTTATCTACTATGATTCATTATTCTTAAGACTGTGTAAAAATCTTACATTATGTAGATACCAAAACATTGAATTTCGTTTAGTGCAATGAGACGTTTATAAGATAATATCAAAGCTGCATAATATAATTATTAGGTATAATACTTATAATAGGTGCTCATTATGTATTATCTTGATCACTTCAATGACTGTATTTATTTTTCACCTCACTTAATCGATAAATATGTTTAAAAAAAATAATGTTTGTATAAATTGATATTGCTTTTATAATATTTATATATTCAAAAAATGTAATATTAATATAAATGAACTATAGTTTAAGTTAATTTAATTTAAAGCTCCAATATAAGATATGAGTATTACAAGTTTTTTTTTAAACATTTTGTTGCCTATAATAATTCAAATGAATCAAACATTTATGTTTTTTCCTCATCTTTATTTTATTTTAATTGAAATCATTATAAAATTGTTATTCTAACGATTTAATAACCATATACTAGTACCCTGTACTCCATTATTTGGTTTGAAGCCTATTAGATTTATCTCAAATGTTTGATTTATTTGCCAAGCCAAGCAGTAAAATTCTATTTTTACTATTATTTACAGAAACTTTTATATTTTATGGTAATATCAAGGCTATGATTTCTTAATGCCAATATCATTGTTAGTTATGTGTCTTGAATTTAAAGCAGTCTGTTGATTTAGGAAGCCAAACTAAAAACTAATCATACAATGAAACCTTATGCCATATCAGTGCAAATACGCTTTAATACTTAATGGCCTTGAGATACTATTTCATGCTCTATATTGTACTTAATTTTAAAAAAAAATCTGTAAACAATTAAGCATCTATGTCTAGGTAGGTATATAATCAACACTTTTGTAAATTTAACTCAGATTTCTGAGATATGGCTTAACTCCAAGTATTTACTGTTTCTCTGTTTTTTCTCAGATACCATAACTAAAATTTTTAATATGTATTTGTATTGTTAAAAATGTTGCTGAATCCAATTTAGTTTGAAACATTTGGTGAGAATAATTCAATATGCTGATCAAGGAATACCGTATACCGCTCCCTCTCAGTGTGGAAGAGTACAGAATTGCTCAGCTTTATATGATAGCTGTAAGTAATGTTAAATAAATTGCTATGAACAAATCACTTTTCTATTAATGGATATTTTCAATTAGAAAAAAAGTAGAGAAGAGAGCAAAGGAGCTGATAGTGGAGTTGAAATATTAGTTAACGAACCTTATGAAGGTGGCCCTGGTGGTGATGGAAATACTAGTGGTGGACAGTATACAAGAAAAATTTATCATGTTGGGAGCCACTTACCAGGTAAAATTACAAAGAAAACAATTGATATTAAGTCAAAAGTGTCTTAGTAAATAATTATGTGATGAATTATCTATAGGCTGGTTTAAAGGACTATTACCAAAGTCAGCATTATCTGTTGAAGAAGAAGCATGGAATGCTTATCCATACACAAAAACTCGATACACTTGCCCATTTGTAGAAAAATTTTCATTAGAAATTGAAACCTATTACTATCCCGATAATGGAACTCATGATAATGTTTTCAAAATGTCTCAAAGTGAAGTTCGAAATGTTTCTGTTGGTATGTATATCTTATATAATAGTTTTAATTTTTTTTTAATTGTTCTGATATTGAATGTTTAATGTATAAAAATAAGAAGTTTGATTTTGTAATGTATTTTATTCAACAATAGGTCAGTACAATAATTACTATTATAGTTATTTATAATAATTTATATGTATCTTTAGATATAATAGACATAGTGAAAGACCAATTATATGGGGCAGATTACATTAAAGAAGAAGATCCAAAATCTTATGTAAGTGATAAAACAGGTAGAGGCCCACTATCAGAAAATTGGATATCAGAATACTGGAAAGAATGTCAAGTAATTAAAACAAAAATCATATAATATAAAAATGGAATCTATAATTTGTAATGTTACATTTAGAATAAAAGTATGCCCACATCGTCAGGAAAATCTATTATGTGTGCATACAAATTGTGCAAAGTAGAATTTCGTTATTGGGGTATGCAAACAAAAATTGAAAAATTCATTCATGAAGTTGGTGAGTTCATTATTTCTATTTGTATATTTACTATATATTTATTTAAGTATTAACTGTAATTTAGTAATAACATTTGCGCATTACTATAAAAATATTATTTCGAATAGCTCTGAGAAAAACTATGGTTCGAGCACATCGTCAAGCATGGGCATGGCAAGATGAATGGGTAAATCTAACCATGGATGATATACGTCAGATTGAGCGTCAAACTCAAGAAGCTCTTAAACGAAAAATGGGTAGTAGTAGCAGTGACTCTGAGATTTGTGAAGGAAATAACACTGTAGATGATACAAAAACTTCCACTAATTTAGCTGCCACTATGGGTAGTATAGAGAAAAGTGATCTAGAAGTAGCCACACCTGTTACATCAAAACGAATGCAAGATCCAACCCTATATTCTCCAGCACCATGTGTTTCTAGCAGTTCTGATACCATATCAAGTAGTGTTCAACAATCATCAAGCATGTTAGTCCTATAACATTTTTAATCATCTATGTAAATTAAAACTATAGACTTGTGATTTTTCTATTTTATTTTTATTCATTTTAGGCGAATACCTGTGAAAAAGAATTGGCATAATCCAAAATCACAAGTACCTTCACCAGGGTCTACTCAAAGTTTTGATACTGCTCCTAATTGGAGAATGGAAAGTTTGATTCGAGATTCAGATTCAGATCTGAGTAATGACGATGAATTTTTTGACTGTCAAGGTAAGGTCAATACAATAATTTAATCATCTTCAACACTGTGTCAACAATCAAAAAATTTTTTTCTTACAAATTAAAACAAACTACTTTAAACTATTTTTTGTTGTGTGGCATTTTAAATGCAACACTTGTGGTTTTTAATTTAATTCATACACTTTAAACTAAACTACGTCCATACTTAAAACTTTTTGCTTTATCATTAAATGTTTTTTAATGTTGATAACTAATAGTAAATACTTTTCCATGTTCAATAAATTAATAAAAGTAAAATGTTGTAGGGTACTAGATTTTTTCTTTTCAATAATTTTTATAGTAGGTTATGTTTTTCTTATTTGAATTGTACTTTAATAACAAAATGAGAAATAGAAATAATGGACATGAGATAGACCAATTCTTCTCAATCTTTTTAGCACAGCAAACCAAATTTTACCCAGAAAATGTATCGCGGTCTTGGTTTGACAGGACAATAAAAGCAACTGATCTATATTCGTTTCTATGTTGAAGACAAATATGGTGACAGAAAAAACTGATTTGTTTCCAGTTCGATAATATTGATTGTCTTATGGCAATAATTTTGCGATAACAATGTACCCACAATTATAGCCATCATTTGAACAAACTTGATATTCGTTTTATGATAGGAATGGTATGAAGTTTTCTGTCTAATTTTTGGGATTTATAATACTTTATAATTTATAGTTTATACAAAAAAATAAGCTTCTTGTGACCCACCAAAAATTTGTTCGAGGCCCAACAGTGGGACAAACCTGAAATAGAGAAACATTGCATATGTTTTATGGTAACATCTTTTATGGATAACTTTAGAAAATAATTTGTATAGTTATAAAAGCCCAATGTTATTTTGTTTACATTAAACTTTTATTTTCAGAAACATTACCGACTTCAGAAATTGTTTCTCTCTCTAAATGGAGTTCCTTAACAATACTTAATGAACAAGAATATGATTCATCCAGTATTCCTGACAAAGAAGGTACTATTAGAAATCTTAAACTTATGTCATTGGAAAATATTTTTAATGAGAAATTATTAATATCTAATAAAAATGCATTAAAAAATGTATTGTTCACAGAAGATAGTATATTTTCTCCTACATATAAAAAGTCTTCTCCTTTCATTCAGCGTGGTCACAGTGTTGACACATGTCCAGGTTCTCCAGTAATTGGTAAAGAAAATAACTGTCAAATAAGTACACTTTTGATGATTATACATTCTGGTAGTGTTCTAGGTAAGTAATATATTCATATAAATTAATAAATGTATTCACTTAAATAATTAATATTTTAGATGCTAATTCTGATATAATGGCAAAGAAATCAGATTTCACTACATTTAGGGGAGCATTTGAATCAGTAATGCGACAACACTACCCAAGTATGATTGGTCATGTTGCGATGAGACTTATTCCTTGTCCGTCTATATGTGCTGAAGGACTTAGTGTATTATCAAAGTAATATTATACATTTTAACTATGTTTTAATAATTTATTTAACAATTTATGTATTATTTTTAGGTTGAGTCCTTACAGTTTTGATGTATCTCCGTCTGGTATAGAATGCACAAATATTACACATGATTCCGTCCCAATAGGTGCTATTCCTATACTAGCAGGTTGCTCGCATGATTATAAAGACATAGTATCTAATGTTATCCGTATGGCAAATCAAGTATATCGAGAGTTTATAAAGTCAGACGAAGGCTTTGGATTTAATGGCCGAGTTTATTTTATAGGTTTGTAAAATTAATTTTGATTTATAAGTTTTTATTTATTATGTTTACCTATTTATTTTAATTTGACCATAGGAGATTCTATGGGATCTGTAATAGGATATGATGCTTTGTGTAGAAGTCCTGATTCTCATTCGTCACACGATGCAAGTAGACATAGCACTCCAGAACATGTGCCGAAAAAAAATGACAATGGTATAAACAAAAATTATGAAACACTCAAGATTTTTATTAATGTTGTATAAAATAAATTATTTCAGATGATTGCACTTCCCTAGGGAGTATGGACTCTTCTTTTAAGGTTTTAGTTACTCCACCAGTTAGAAGAAGATCATCATCCACAAGGTATTTTTTTTTTTTAATCAAGATTGTATTAGTATTACATGGATATAAACTAATGATCATTATTATTTCAGTGACAGTAATGTATGCCTGGACTTCGAAGTTAACGAAATGTTTATGTTTGCATCTCCGTTGTCACTTGTATTAGCATTTAGGAAAATTTCAGCACATAAATATGATAAGTCAAGTAAGTTCTTACTGTGTTTTTTAATAAATGTATTCTATTTGTATTTTTCTTACAAAAAAATTGAAATCGTTTTATTCCATTGCAGCTTCAATTCAACGTCCAGCATTGCAACAAGTTTACAATTTATTTCATCCATCTGACCCTATCGCATCTAGATTAGAACCACTAATTTCTGCAAAATTTTCAATTCTGCCACCTGTTAACATACCTCGATATCAAAAATATCCTCTTGGAACAGGACAACCATACTATTTATGTAAGTGACTGAACAATGATTAAAATATTTTGTTATTCATTATTCTTTCTGTGTAGTAGAAGCAGTGCAAACAAATCCGCAATTGTTTACCGAACACAATCATGCCAGGCGTACGTCTGAAGCAAGTATTCTGAGTACAGTTTCTGGGATAGGTGATACACTTCCAATTCAAGCAATAAATAAATGTAAGTTATTTTTAAACTACTGTCATTGCCCAATATAATGAGTCTATTATTTTAGTGACAAAAAAATGGTGGGGTTCTAAGAGATTGGACTATGCTTTGTATTGTCCTGACGGATTGTCAAATTTCCCCACAAATGCTTTGCCTCATATATTTCATGCTAGCTATTGGGAATCCTCAGATGTCATTGCATTTATTTTAAGACAAGTAAAAATAAAATATAAAACTTAATAGATGTTATAATAGTTTTGTAAATTCTGAACTGATTTTATATTTAATTTCAGTTTGCTATATTTGACTATAATAGTTCGATTGGAAATGAGGAAAAGGAACTGGCTACTTTTAGCCCCAGTCAACCTAGAGAAAAATGGCAGCGTAAAACGACTTTCATTAAGATAAAAGTAATTAATAATAAACTGTTACATATATCTTGGTAGAAGTATTAATCACTTTAATCACATACAGAACTCTACTGCAAGCCATCGAGCAAATGATGTAATAATTCGAGAAGGTTTGCCACAGATAATTAGTGCTCGTTTTATTTATGGACCATTTGATATGTTTTCATTGGCTGGTGTGTATTTGTTTTTATTTTTTTATTTTTTACATTTGTTAAAATATTATAATATTTTCTTAGGGGAAAAAGTTGATATCCATATTATTAGGGAACCTGGTAATGGTGAATGGACACATTTAACTACAGAAGATTCAGATAAAAATGGACGAGTCACCTATACAATACCAGAAAATAAATCTCTTGGATTTGGAATATATCCAGTTAAAATGGTTGTTAGGTAAATATATCGTTATATAACTCCAAATTCCAATGTAAACTATTATAATAAATAACTTTATATTTTTTAGAGGAGATCATACAAGTGTAGATTTTCTGTTAGCTATTGTTCCAACTCAAACAGAAACCGTTGTATTTAGCATAGATGGATCATTTTCTGCCAGTGTCTCTGTTACTGGCCGTGACCCAAAAGTTCGACCAGGCGCTGTTGACATAGTGAGGTAATGTGTACCAACATATTTGATACACCTAGCCACCTAGGTGTCAAAATTTGGCAAACTTGTTCATTATATTTAAATAATATGTAATTGGCTCATGTCAATTACCAAAATATAAATTATAATAGTCATTGTTAAAAATATAGTTTGTGTAAATTTAAAAAGCATATTTCATTTATTATATACAATAAATTATAAATATATAATGACAAAGTTAAATGATTAAAAAAAAAAAAAAAATACTGATTTAAAATCGATGTTGAAAAAAATTAAATGACATTAACATATTATTATGTATAGATTATATAAAAAATACTTTTAGTAAAAACCTGTAGTTAATCATAAATTTTAATTTTTGCTTCTATACTAAAACATAATTGATACAACTGTTCTACACTTATTTAATCATGAATTATTTTCCTCTTAACTCAATAAAATTAAATGTAATGAAACTAATTGTATTATCAGTATACAATAAATTGATATAATCAGTAAAATTTAAAAAAGAGTATTATTATATAGTAGATTAAAAAAACTGTACTACTTAATTTGGCTTATCTATAAAGTTATTGCATAATAATATTATATGTTCAATTTTATCTGATTAAATATTATATATCTATAAAATGTATTATATAATAAATTGAATAATTTAAATGACACTTCATAGACACTGGCAAGAATTGGGCTATTTAATAGTCTACATTACGGGAAGACCAGATATGCAACAACAACGCGTTCTGTCATGGTTGAGTCAACATAACTTTCCTCATGGACTAGTTTCGTTTGCCGATGGTCTTTCTACAGACTTCCTCGCTCACAAAATCACATATCTCAAAAGCCTTGTGCAGGTAAATATATCACAGAATATAGTGAAATGAAAGGTCTATTCCTCCAACAACACTAATATATTTTTCTTGTATACATTTTATTTTCAGGATCATAAAATGATAATTCATGCGGCCTATGGAAGTAGTAAAGATATTTCTGTCTACAGTGCATTGGATCTGAAACCAAAACAAATATTTATCATAGGCAAAGTGGGTCGTAAACATCACTCAATGGCAACTGTGTTGAGCGATGGTTATGCTGCACATTTATCAGCCTTACAGTGTCACGGAGGATCTAGGCCAGCTCAAGGAAATGCTCGGATGCTTTTGACGACTTCAAGAGGACGCTTTGGACATAACGCTTCAATGAGGCGTAGAAGGTGTGTATTTTAAATATGTATTTGTTGTTTTTTAAATATTAGTGTACAAGATTAATAATCAATGATAAATATAAAAAAAAATTTAATTTTTCAAAATTTATACTACTAATTTTTACCACAGAAAAATGTAACTGATATTACAGACTGATGGTAGATACAATACCAATTGTAAGGGCTATGTTTGAATTTTTTTCTTTGAATATTTATTTTTCTATGTTCAGACCGGTCTTGCACATTAGTGACGTTTTTGTTAAATCATTGGTTTAATTACATCGATCACAACTGTACTCAAAATATGTTTTTATGTTTAAAATATCTTTAGTTTAAAAGGTGTGTAAAATATACTAGAAATAATTCATTTTTTAAATTTTTCTGTTTTCGTATTAAACTTTCACTAAACAAATAACAAATTTTATTAAAATTTAAATATCAGTTAAATTAACCCGTGATATTGAATGTGTCTCACAATATGTTTGAAACACAATTCATTTTTTTAAAGATATAGTCATTTATTTTTATGGTTTTCATCAACAATTAAATTCTTAAAAAATAACCATCAGAGCGGTTATTCTTAAAATTATCATGACCTAAACTTGTCTTGATCAGGTGTCCCGAGAAGAGATCTGGCGATACACATGGTTCCAATAATTGATCCATACTTGACCGCATATTATGGTGCAAGTAAATGTCAGGTAAACAATATGAGAATGTGCTTTGTGTGGAACAAAAAAAAACCTCTTGTTTCTGATATATGTAAAAAAAAAAAAAACTGTGCACACTCTAGTAAAATTGATTTCTTTTTTACCCCTTCCATGCTTTTGTGTCTACCTAAAATGACTGTAGTAAATTACACTGGATTCAATAATTGATACACTTAATCATATTTTTTCAGTTGCCTTGTTTTTCATCCTTTGATAACTTTTAGTATACCTATGCTTGATTGTCCCTGCACTTCATCCATACACTACCATAAACATACAATTATTATTATTATATTTTATATACATGGTCATTTACTTTGTTTACTATTGCCTCTGTGAAACGACCACATACTGTACCTTGTATGTTTTGTATTCATCATATTCAATTTATTTTAATCAAAATCTTTTTATTAAAAAAAATTTAACAGATCTGCAAAAAGGACGACATCGTTTCCGATTTGTTCGATGACCAGATCCACGAGCAGTAAAAGATATGATAACCTTTGATGTTGTTCTTGGTCGTGTTTTCAACACCATTCCTCAGATGGTTCCTGATGACAGCGGCGTAAATTATGTCTGTGTGCATTTATCAAAAAAATTGTTACTGTATGATTGTTGTAAGCTGTTGTCATTATTGTTGTTTTTGTTGTCTTTTGAAACTATAATATTCCTCACTATTATTGTCTCATTGTCTTTTGTCTTAGGTTCTTTGTATGTACATTTTTATGTATTGTTACCAATCTAGCACATTCCTATTTTTTATTGATTTTATTATTTTCATTCTCCATACTGTCCATTATATTTTATAAATATTAATCATTTCCATTTTATTATTATTTTTTAATTGTACTATTATATTTGTACAGATTTTATTTTATTAAATGTTGAGATCTTGTATCTTACCAATCATCAAAAAGGCTGTGCCGAGCATATTGACAATGTTCAGTACAAAATCTAGGCTGCTAATATTATTGCCTTTAAATAATATATTATTTTATTTGTTAATATTATTGTTTCTATCATTTTGTTTTATGTTTTAACTGTTACTTCTTGTCTTAATTGGTTAACTCATAATCAATATTAAACTCATTTAAAGTCATATTTTCTAGTCAAGTGTTGATCAAACAAAATTATCTATTTTTTAAAAAAAAAAATACTCAAATGTAAATATTTTTTTCATTAGATATAAGTTATTATTATTATATTAGTTAAAATATTATTGTTATGTAAAAATGAAAAATATGTGATATTTTTTATTTTCATTTTTATATACCTGTATGTCTGCTGTAGACAAATTAAATGGAAGAACTTCAACCTGTTTGTTTGTTTTTTTTATGTACTTTATTGTTAAAACAAAACAATTGTGTCCTTGTAATGTTTTGATGATTTGTCTCCTCTCCATACTTGTGTTGTAATCTCAAGTTGTAATCTTTGCGTCTGAATAATACAACAGCTCTACTAAAACATATTTATTAAATAAATATTATATTAATAATAATTATAGTAATTAGAAATTGCGGTCGGATGTGAATTTAACATAACTTAATAATAATATTATAATGATTGTATTGAAATAAGTTGTCAATATCAAATCTTTTTGTGTGTAGTTTGTTTTCTGTTGGCGTACTTAAGTCACTATTATGTTATTACCAATAAATCATTAACAAATGTAAAACTATAATACAGTTTAATATTATAACTGCGTGCAATGTTATTTAATATATAAGATGTATGGTTCTTATTGTTTGTATTTATTATCATCTACTTAGTACACACATCCACATCTAGCAGTGAATGACATATTTTATTAGAAAAATGTAAAACAATATTTCTCCACCAACAAGGAAAAAATTGCAAACAAATTAATCACTGACCTGGTGTTGTAAGGTACGGCAACACCGACATAGAACTTTTGGTTTAATCTTAAACTAATCGGTTCTCATTTGCATTGCAAAATTATGTTCAAATTATTTTAATAAGCTCGTGACGTGGTGCTTTCAGTAGGTAAGCGCCTATGCCATTTGTAGAAGCAGGCTCTCAAGCTTCACGTGATTATTTGTTAAAAGTACCTATAAGAAAAAATGTTTTTTATATTTTGAATATATACTGTGTTTGATGTTAATATACTTACATGTTTAGGTATAGAGTAAACAGTAAAGAATAAAAACCAACATCTTGGATGGGTAGCTGAAGTCTCGACGAAAAATTAATAAGAGCAATGTATTTAATAGCAATTAGTATATTTTAATTCTATATATGTTTATTATGAGGTACAAGTAATAAGTATGATAATTATTGATTAATAATGTTTTTCCTCCGACATCAAGTAACAAGTTTATTTATAAACAAAATCTAATAGTATTATTGAACACAAAAATAGTAATAGGTCAACAATATTAATTTTATGTCATAATTCGGGGCTCAATGAAAATTGATTTTAAAAATATACTTAGATAATTTTAGATTCTTTGCGGAGCGATAGATGTATTGATATTACAGTGATGTGTTTTTTTCTATGTCTGTCATAGTGTCATCACCTTTTAGGACGATAAAAATACTTCGATTTTCTTCATCATTTCTGGTAGAAAAAATTAATACAGTTGGTAGCTTGGGGGTTCAAAACTCCTAAAAGCGTGAGGAAAAACAAACAAAAAATTAAGGAAAACTGAAATTTTTGCCCAAAACTGGTTTTTGAAAAAAATTGATTTTGTTTTTTTAATGTAAATCTATTTTTACTGAATGTTTATAGTAATAATTTCAACGCACCAAACAATTTTCGAAATATTGCGAAAATCTTGTTGCTTTATTTTTACATTTTTATTTTCAAATTATATAAGTTTTTTTAAAATTATTGTTGATAAAAAAATGTTTACTTTGTCAAAATACTTGAAAATTTAATATAACATTCCTTATAAGATGTTATTAGTGGAAATAATAAAAAAAAAGTTGTGTTTAATTCACAATATTTTCTTAATGTATGTATCTCTAAGTTTCGAAATTTTAATATTAGATTCTCCATAGGTTTTCTCTAAGCATTAAAAGTTAGACATTGGATATTCATCCATAAATTAACAAATTCTCATACAACCATTATCTTATTTTGTTGTAATTCAAAAACTATTAACAGTAAGTACTTTTACCGCAGAAAATGTTCATCAAATGTTTTTATCATTTTTTATATATGATACATTTTTCTAACTAGTTATAGACATTTGAAATTTGAAATTTTTTAGTTTTTTATTCTATAAATGACAATAAAATGTTATAAAAATGGTAAGAAGCTTGAAAATTGAATACAAATCTCCTCAGAAGTAGTTATAATAGCAGTTGATAAATATTAAAGATCTATTGGCATGATTTTCTTTAATAAGTTTCTTTAAAGTTCAAATTTTGGCACAACTTCTCAAAATCTCAGAAAATTACAATTTATTTTTTAATTAAAAAATTATAAAATGTAATTTTTATTGATAAGAATTGAAAAAAGTCTGAACACAGTTATTTCTTACAGAAATTTTAAGTTCAAATGTGGTCGTGTGAACAAAATTACATATTAAAATCTAGAATAACGATTTTAGTAGGTATTATTTTATTCCAATTTAAAAATATTTTTTTCGTGGATATTTGAAACTTTAAGAGTTCATTATTATTTAATTTGATTTTGCAGAAGGGATGTCTGCACCCACACCTTTACGTGAAAATTGTTATTTTTTAATTTTTTTACTCGCAACCTAGTTAAATTTTGCCCTTAAGTTGAAAAAAGCGCTAAAATGGCGCAAAGTTACCCCGGTTTACGGTAGGTACACTGTACAGTATAGATTAGGCTATAATAGTAAAATAAATTAATCCTTAATTATAATAATATCATATAATTCACGTAGTAATATTAAACGCTGACAGGTCTTTGCTCAGAATTGTTTGTCATATACAATGATTAGATATTGAAATATTGAATTCAAATTTATCACATCCATTACCTACAGTGACTCTTTAGACACCTAATGTACAGCAGAGCGTTACCCGCTTACCCGCTTTTTTTTTTTTGAAATATAGAAAATAGAAATGTTTTCATTGATATTAATTTTATTTTTATTTATTCTTAATCTTAACTACAATTTACGTGTATGTTTTAGTATAAGAATATTCAAAATTAGTTTTATAGATTAAAAAACCTTTTAATAAGAAATAAAAACGTATGTTGTCACTTGTTAGTTGTTAATGAAACATGATACAATTTTTGTAAAATAGTAAATAATATTTAATATTAAGCTTCAAATTTAAAACAGAAAATCCATTTAAAAATAAGTTCTGAAATTTGTGTCATGGTAACTTAAATTTAACGCGTTTGATTGGGTTCAATGTAAAACGTCCTAAAAACTTAAATCGCTCAAAATTGTTCCTATACAATACAACGCGCTACCCATCCAAATATAAAATTCTCAAAAACACAAATAAAATATTGCGTTTAAAAACATACACAAAAGGGATTTGCAACAAAAAGAGCACACCGTGCGTGGCTTAGAAAACAGTACGTTAAAATACCATCGATGTGCAGTGTAACATTCAACATGATCACAATGATCACTACTGTCGTAGTTTATTGTCAGCGTGTTTCATATAGAAGTAATAAGACGGATTCGTCACACTGTCGTCCGAGCACATTGTCACAAGAGCAGTATACGAGCATTGGGTCGAGGTAAAATGTGTCAACCCTTCGGCACTCGGAAATCGTATCAAACCGTTGGTCGCGCACACTGCAGGAACGGCGAAGGCGGCATTTTTCGACCACTGCGCGCTGCAATAACGCAGACAAATAGGTACCGTAATAATATTAAATCATAATATGGGAATTATACTCGTGTGCTGCACGCAGTCGAGACGACTATCGCCATCGCGTATATTTTATCCCACTCGTGGACGGTCGTTCGTCACGAAACCGAGGCCGACCCACCCTGCAGGCTTAGCCCGGTGAACGCCTATTTATAAGTCGGTTAAGCCTCAGAAGTCCGCGTTTACACTATTACGCGGCCGAACGCCACGCGACGCGCGCCGGTTTCCCGACATCATCATCATCATCATCATCATCATCATATTCTGTCGGGCTCGCGCCACGGCCACATTACCGCACAGCCGTCGTCTGAGCTGGTCGCGGCTTTTTCTTTTAATATATTATTTAATATTATTATTATTATTATTATTATTATTATGATCGTACCGTCGAGTATATAGGTTTCCCGCTGCCGCCGCCTCGGTTTTCGACACGCCAAACACCGCCGCCGCCGCCGCCGCCGCCGTCGTCGTCGTCCTGAATCTTCAGCCGCGCGCACTCGCGAAAACGATAATACCTATACCGAATTATACGTTTCATTTCGGCATAATGTTATTATAAAATATAGTGATAAATATAATATTAAATAGTAGAATATTGTATGCGCGATATAATTACATGCGTGTGTTTGGACGTAATATTATACCACGGCGTCTGAAGACTCGCACTTGCCTGTCGTCGTCGTCGTCTTCGTCCTGCGCCTGCAGACCGATTTGAGATCGAATTGACCATTGCTACAGTTTCCACCGGGAGAGATGAACAGAAACGTACGAAAGGATTCCGCGGACTCCAAAGCAGGGTTGGTGAAAAACGAAACGCCGGACGAAGAGATCAAGGCACGTAAATATTTTCGTACCTATATATTGTTCGAACGTGACTAAATGATTTATTAACTGTTTGTTTATGAGCGTGGTTCGTCTGCAATGTATATACATATATAATACATACTTTATATACTATAAACTCAAGTGTACATATAGATGGTATATATAATGGAATAATTTATAATATGCACCTATGTATGCATAGCTATTGCACTGCCGTGTGTGCGTATAGAAATTGGCAACTGCACTATGTGAAAATACGCATCTCGATATTGCACTATTCAATGGTATACAACAAACAAATTGCATAAACATATTTTAAGTGACGTTTACACATGTATATATATATTTATACATCTGTGACCTGTACGTTAATGTGTAAGCAATAGGCATAATTAAAATACAAAATATAATACATATAATATATTATAATATAAGGCATAAGCACTAAGCAGTGATTGTAACATAGTGATTGCCATCATCTATATAATGAATAATGTATAATATTATAGTTGTACTCAACTGCATGCATGTACACAACGATATAACTTAATACTCATCATAGACCATAGTATTTAGTGTTACCATATGTAATACCATATGTATTTAGTATTATAGTGTCGCTGGTCATCTTCTTCTCTGTATAGATACCTAGGTCGATACCCATTACGTGTGTATGTCAACTTAATTATTCTACCCATACACATTCCGCTTTCGTGCCATTTTAAGTGAGAATTGTACAATACATTAATAAGAGCCTACTTAAACATATAAATCACTAATCTATACAGTGAACCATATACCTAATATTTAATTATTAAATTGTTATCATTATTGAAATCGTATACTTCCCATATTTACTAATGTTCTATCATGACATAATTATTCTAATTTATATTGTGCCTAAGCTATATTTGCCTTGACCTTAATTCGTCAATACAATTTTTTTTATTCTTACATAGGACCCCATACAGCAGCGCATGTGTTTTAATGCAACACGTGGACAGTATATAGTCTATCGTGAAACACTAACTACAAACAAATTATAAATAGAGCTTTGAAGTTGCACACTATAATAGTATTACATTGCCTAACCGAACGTCTTAAAATTACTGTAAATCCAATGAGAAATAAATCCTAAAAATAGACTAATCTGTGTTCAATAAACTAATGCCAATTTATACAATTCACGTAGGTACATAATAGTATATTTTATTTGCTATATACTATTAAGATCATTTGAAAATTTACATAATTTTTAATAATTATTGGAAAATATGCTTATTAAGTCGATATTTATAAGATTGATTAGTTTACTATTACCTTACCTCTATTTTGCGTAGTAGTTATAGTAGCATATACTTGTATGTCTTTAGTGGAAAATCTAGTAAAATTATACATTATTAGTTTGACATATTATAATTTATTGTAAATTGTAAAATGTTTACCAACTACAAATCCAAGAATTGTACTGCAGGGGTTCTGCAGAATATACCTGGTGTTGTAGATAAACACTATTTTGAAAATGATGTTAACATTTTTGTAAATATATTTTTTTTATTTTGCATAATTTACAGTCATATTACACGATACAACATTTAAAAAAAACATATTTTTCAAATAACGTTATCAATTTTTAATTTTTTACATCGATGCATATTTAATTTTAAATACAAAATCAGGATAATTATTTTCGTGAGTAGAAAAAAAATTAATGTGTAAGCACTGTAAGCCAACATTTAGTGGTTAAATTTCGGTATAAAAAGTAGTCAGCAGACTACGGGGCAGAACCCGTCCGAGGGATCAAAGAAAATACTAAATAGCATGTACCTACAAAATATTGTGCCAATTGGTCAAAAACTGGATTTGCATAAACATGAAATAAGCCTTTAATTTGATTTTCAGTTATTTGATTGGGGAAGGTGGTTGAAAACGAAAAAACTCTCAATGCTTTCATATTAATCTGGAAAAACAAAATAGAAATTATTAAAAAAAGGGAATTTTTCACAAACCTAGTTTTCAAAAAAATCAATTTTTTTTGCAATTTGAATTTTCAATTTTTTTTTAAATATTATTATATTTTTGTAGGGTTTTGGAACTTTTCAGCATCTTCAACATATTTGGACCACATTTAAGCTATGAATATATTCATTACCATCCTATATCATCCGTCTTACGGTATTGCCTCGAAAGTATATAAACAAATATTTTTTTTTCAAGTTTTTTATAAGCTTCTAGTATAAACTATGACAACTTGACATTTACAGCGAAATATTAATATTATAATATAGTATATAAAATATGAAATTTATTTTTAGGAAAAATTAGTTCAAAATACGTTATTGATGATTTTAATTTAAATTACTAATATATAGCAGTATAACTGTATAAGCTATAAACATAATACAATAAAATATCCTTAGGAATACAGGTTCTGAAGACTGTCTTCGCTCAACAGAATCGTTTTTCATTGCATATTCGTAACAATGATCTATCATTGTATATTCATATACAAATGTACAATGATCTATCATTGTATTCAAATTTAATCAATTTCATAACTACATTGACCTACTCAATGACTACATACAGCTATTATATAGCAAAGCGATTTCCTGTTTTTTTTTTTTTAATATTAAAAATGCTAAACATAATAATCATTTCATATTTGTTACTAACAGGTTATCTGTAATAAACAACATGTCTTGTGAATAATTCACATGAAATATGGTTAGCTAAATGTACAAAAAATATGATACGTTTGTCAGTATACTTGATAGACAGTAGTAGAATTCAATGAGGTCTGAGAAATACAAAAGAAAATCTATTTATAGGTCTAACACTGTCGATATTAAAACATTTATATGAACTTATCTACAAAACACTAAATTTTGGTAATGTAACAATATATGCCTAATAAAAACTAACAATTTAATAATTTAATCAAATAAATTTATAATAAAATTGTATTTATTGTCATTATAAATTATACGACATAAATATTTAAATATAGTAAAATATGTTAAGGCGCGAGGGCTTTTGATGGTCCAGGGTGTGCTAAGCAGTCCTAAGCTCCACCCTCTATATTCACGTGCCATTCCACGTATATAGTGTATACTTGGTAAGACAACAACAATTGTTTGACATCCAAATTTCTAAAATTGTTTGTTTTCATGTACCTATTGACTAAATTTTGTTATTTTTAAATTTGTATTATATCATTATGGAAGTATAATAACAATTATGGCTAAACATCGTTGGCCGTTTACAATTTTAAATAAATAAAATTAATAAATGTATCAACCTTAAAAGTTCCGCCTAGAATCTACCATTTTTAATGAATTAATTGCATTATAAAATATTAATCTAATTACAATATGATGTATTATTCATGTATGATGATTCCAAATCGTTCTCTCACCGGTCAGTTTTCCATAATTCAAATATAATGTTTCACACCGGAATTATAAAATATGAAAGACCCTGCAGCAGTCACTGCCAAGTGGCCAGTGGATGGTACTATATAGCATATAATAATATACACGAGGTCCTACCTATACATACGTACATATATATATATAGTCCCTATAGGTACTCGAGTTCGATGTATTTTGCAATTTAACATGATATAAGTGCCTCGGCAGCTACGCTGCGCGTCCGTTCTAATTTTTCCCGCGGTTTTTCCCCCTCGCCCCCATCACCTCGCCTACGACAACGACGTGATGTAAAATTGATCGAAAGACGTCGGAGCGGCGGCGTCCCGAGCAATAGATCGTACACACACATATATATATATATGTATATGTATAAATACGCGTATATATATGTATATATGCATATCGGATTTCTCTCTTTGGCGCGCGCGATACACGGGGCGTGGGACGGGAAGCGGTGGAGGCGAGGGGCTTAAAGGCGTGCAAACTGACACTGCTATCGAGTTACCGACACGAGCAGCGTCCGTCCGTTCGCCACACTTTACGTCTGCCGTGTACGCAGAGCCTCTGCACCGTCGAGGGCTATCCCGCTGTATCCTCTCGAAGTCTCGCGACGACGATGACGAGTCGAGGTGGGTACCTATTATATTATGTAGATATAGTGTAGCAGTGGTCGGGTAAAATTGCCCAGGTGATCGAGGGTGCAGGCATGATTTATGGCGGCGGCACAGGAGTACGTGCAGGACGGGTGCCAACACTGCCGACGTATACTTACATATGTATATATATATAGATTATAGCTATATGAAATTATACTGTATTTTTGGGCGGGGGGGGGGGATATACATACACAGGCGTCATGAAATAAGACCACGACGATGTGACCATATTTCGTCAAACCATATATACTTTGGCCCAAAGTTCAAATATTATAGGTACGGATATCGAATACCTATAGACGTCTTCAAAATACAAATCGCAGATGTATAATGTATAATATATTTTTGAGATTTCTATACCCACTTATATAAAGTTCTATGAATAATATAATTTTATGAAGATAATCTAATTTATATTAAGTAATATAATAGTACCCACTTACGTGACTACTTACAATTCAACACTGAATAAATGTAGGTACTTCAGTACTTGTTAGTTGTTATTATGTATAATAAAATAATAAATCTCAATCTCCTTCATGGTTTTGATAATTATTTGTATATTACTTCATCAACAGTAATAATAATAATACTGCGTTTTACTATATACGTTTTTTTATCTTACGAGGTGATGATCAGGCTAAACAATTAGTGATGATGAAATCAATGATAAAATCCTAATTGTCTATAATATTAATTTAAGTATTCAAATAAATGTATAATGTAAATTATAATATACTATACTAGTATACTATATAGATAAGACATTCTAAAGCTTTAAAGTTTATACGGAGAAAAAATGAAAGTATCAAATTAACCCAGATAAAAGAAGTTTTTTAATTACCACCAGGGTCACACACAGTAATTGTTCAATACTTTAAATAACTAAATATTATGTTAAAAATTCATTCTAGTATTTTTTTTATAAATAATTGCCAACTGCACACTAGCTGTAGTGGTTTAGCCAATTACACGGATAATAAATCAAGAAAAATACGTTTATGATTACGTCTTAAATGGCTCTCTAAAATAGTGAATTTAGAATTTAGAACGCTAGTTTTGAAGTGTCAAAATTACTCCTTAAGCAGCCTAGCTTGTCGAAATGTAAAGATTTAATCCAACGTAATCTTGCTAAGAAATTGAATGTTCACTAAATCGGCGAACGCGTGGTTATACACTTATACTGGTCATACAATTATAATAGAGTTGATTAAAATGTCATATAAAAATGTTATAAAACATATAATATACTGCAATTCTCAATGGCCAAAACCTGCAACGTTGTTTCCTTAAATAATTTAATAATTATAACCTTAATACATTTAAATATATATATATCATTATTAGTACATTATTCAAAAAGACCAGATGAGTCTATCTGTTGTGTTTCGAGTAAACATTGTCATTGAGTATTAAACAAATTACAATGTTTATAAAACCATATTATATAGAATATTTGAAACGATTCTCGTATAATATAGTACCTACAACAAATTATTTTGAATTTTAATTTTTCATCAGAATTTGGATTCATTCCAAGACATATGATTTATTGCTTGTGATATTATGTTTATACATTTAACTATTCAAATAAGTTATACAAAAATTATATTAATACAAACATTAGAAGGAATAGCAATCTGCTTAAGTAACTACTTAATTTGATTCAAAAAATAAAATTAATTAATTGTTTTAGAGTCACTGATACTAAAATAAGGCATTGACAATATTAAAATACTAATTTAAGTTTATGTAAGTTACTCATATATTTGTATAGATATAGTTTTGTGATTTTATATTAGCAATATATGTTCAGATGAAACTACAATGCAGTTGGAAACATAGGCGTGTGCCTACCTCTATATATGATATATTCATATATAATATATATGTGCCTGCTGTATGGGCTTCTTCCCTCCTTTAGTTTTATTGCATTGTAGGTATAAACATTTCTGATAAGGGATAGTAGGTGACACAATCACATTGTACTTAATTATAAAATAATGTATGGAGTCGTGTAAATTCCAAAATAGTACCTGATATGATGAATATTATGAACGCGGAACATTATACTATAGGTAATCATAAATATTAATATCATTAATTGAATAGGTGATAAGGAACTCAATTTTAACACTCGTTATATTAAATAAACGAGTTTTATTGATATATATATAAATAGATATATAATATTGTGTACATGATATATCTCATATTTTCTGGCCAAACAGAGTGCGTGTGTGTGTGTGTGTGTGTGTGTGTGTGTGTGTGTGTGTGTGTGTGTGTGTGTGGCTGATAAACACATACATATAATATACTGTTCGTATGTGTATATAATGTAATATGTATTCACTATTCATGTATATAGGTATACATCACATTATTGTGTCCTCACTTTAGGGTTTACAGTTACACATTATATTTCATTATTTCACCCGATATCCACACTATAGCTATCATTATCCTTTGTGCGTCACCCAATACCACCCGGGCGGCGACGTCAGCGGAGCACGGTATAAATGTCTGTGGAAAAACGAGAACAGCTTTTAATCAATCCATTTTTGTCTCTCCTTCATAACTGCACACAAGCGTGATGCGTATTATTATTGTATAGGTACATATTATTATATATTGTACAGGTACGAGGTATACCACTCAAATGTTTTATGTTATTTCAAGAATTCCAGACAAAATTATTTATGTGAGCCCGCGTGTGAACTGTCGGTGAATTATTATAATCCGTATGTATACCTATAGTAGTTTCGTGTATACAACGCGAAGTTAACTTTTGAATATTTCGAAATATACACTACAATATATAGGTAGGTGCATAAAACATATAACAACGTGTGCGTGCAGGTTAGGTGAATGTTATACAACTGTATAGTATAATATAATAGTTAAACTAGTAATTGGTATAAGTAGATATAGTAAGTACCTATAAAGGCTATAAGACATATAAGTTATAAGTTATGACTTAAGGATGTCATAGCCGATGACGCCATGCTCGGCCACTGCTATTATTGTTAGGTAGGTAACCATATTTTTTTTAACTTGTCTATAATATGCAGCTCAACTAGTCAACTCTCAATAGTGCATTTAATGGAAACCCTCTTCACCCATCAAAAACCAATTATCGATACCCATCGTACGACGCTTGCGCCTACTAACTGTAAATAATTATTTTATGAATCGTTTAATAAAAAAAATGAAAGCTAAAAAAAACTTGCAGGTGTAGGCACCTATTACCTATATGTTATGTATAAATGTTTTGATTTCCTAATCCTTGTGATACAATTTTTTGAATTGTTAGCATTTTTGTTAATAATGTGGTTGATAATATGACTATATGAGTAGGTATGATTATAAATTCACATTTTTGGTGCTTCCTTCAGCTTTATATTATTGCATGCTCCATCTTGGTTTACGCGACTACGCTTTCTAATATTCATACCAATCGATTGATCGATAAATTAGCGCTTATCACATACATATTAAAAAAGCCTAGTAAGCCTCTATACTTCATGTGTTTTGAGAGTACTTGCGTTCGAAACTTGCCCATCCACACATTTTTTTTTAGACAATTTTTTACAATTATTTCTTAATGATAATATTGGTACTTACCACATCTGATAATCGACATTCCACTTACCATTCTCCGTTCAGCCTATTCAACCAATGAACCCGTTGACGAGGAAAAAGTCAACAATCCGGATTCCGATTTCGTCAGCGTAATGAGCACTGTACAATCTATGATGACTGCAGTAGTCAGGAACACAACTAAATTGTTCAATTAATTTATTATATTAGAAAGTTTTATAATATAGTTGAAGCTGTTGGCGAGTATTACATTTCTACGATGTTTTAGAATACTTTTACAGTTATTATTAATTTCATTGTATTTGGTCCACTTAATTTGGTTAATTTAGTGGCATCGCGTGATTACGCTGTTGACTGTTCTGACGTTTGTTTTTGGTCCACACTTCCACGAGTTTCGTCGTACCTACGTCATTCTTTTAATTTTGAATCCAACATATTGCTAACAATGATCACCCGTAAAAAATGTCACAGCCGTACTGGTTACAGGTACCTGGCGTATAAATGTATGATATCAAATGTATTCGGAATAATTTTAAATCCTAAAAACATATACTGTATAATATGGAAAATCTTAAATCTACAGCTAACGTCCAGGTAGAGGAATGCTGTAACGCTAGTAAATTGAAAGTTGCAAGTTAGTGATGTAGTCATCACTATGCTACTGCAGTGAAAAAATGTATAATAATTGCCCCAGCAATTGTACAAAATATTTACTCTAAAGTAATTAAGTCTAAAAAATCATTTATAACTACGCAGTTATAAATTATAATACCACCAATATATTATATCTATATATGTATTACGGTTGCTTGTACAACTATATATAAACCCGATAAACGTATAAATAAATGTACTAAAAATTAGTAATGAAAAGTAAAAGATATATCTATATTGTACAAGTTATAATTATCCATAGTTTTATATTTTCAATATTTAATAATAAATGAAAAATAATATGTATTATAATTTGTAGGAGTACGTGAAAACCACAATGAACGAGATGCTCGGCTGGTACGGATATGAAAAAATTAATTCCAAAGACTGTTCACTGCAAAGTATGAATTTAGTTAAGCTCAGGGAAAAATATCGAGGTCGCTCAAAAAGCACAGAACCAGAAACTTCGTCAGACGAATACAATAGTCCACAATCACCAACAACATCAAGTAATTTGATTTATTATATTATACCTACAATTCATAATAAATTGTAAATACACACTTACTTTCTGATGCTCTTTTCTATATAAGAGTTTCGTTTTTATGGTGACTTATAAAAAAGATGACGAAAATAAAACATAACTACATCATATATATGATAGATATATCTAATTCATATTTTTATGTTTAATTATGTCTGTTTTAAATGTAGATATAGATAGTAAAACCTATACCTACTAAGTATATTTAATCTTTGTTAAAACTAATAAAAACTTACCTATTAACTATTTCTAAAGCTGTAGTCTGTAGGTATACCTACGTTTTGAGTTTTTGACGTCAATGTTAAAAATACTTTTGGTGCGTAAGTTGACATGCCACAGTTCCATTAACTGGTGGTAGGTACAAATAAATAGTGGTTTTTGTTTTTAGACGCAAAAAAACAAACGATCAAGCTAGGTAATTGATAAATTATTTTTCAAATATAGTATAATATTTAGTTTGTTATTGAGTTAAAAATTAAATTAAAAAAGTGTGCGGAGAAACTCTATATTATGTTACTGAATACTTACCGTCTGTCACACGACACCATTCGGTAGGTAGGTATATTATGAATTTAAAAAAAAATTAAATTTAGATGAAAATTGTAAAGTTTATTTTGAAGTTAAATGGATACATTTTTATCACAGAACTAAATTTAAAGGAATTCATTTTATCTATAAATTATTAATAAAAGTTATATTTGAACGTGGATATGTACAGCTTTATTAATACTGATGTTAGCGGTATACAATTTTAAGTTCGACCACACTGGCGGAGCTGGATGGTAGGAGTGAAGCGAAACAATTTTTTCTTGGTTCAAATGCTCAGATGTTTTGTATATGTGATATATGTACACAATTAAAAAATATAATAATATAGCCTAACAAATATAATAATATAATAATATAGCCTAACAAAATATAATAATATATAATAATATATTAAGGTTCATAGCCAAGCTTAGTTTTCCCAACTTTTCAGGAATCAGGGGGAACAAAAAACGATTTTGATTTTAGAATTTCGAGTTAGTATAGGTATGCCACTGAACAATTATTAAAGCTCAAATGTGTATCTAGGTCTTTTTGAAAAGTTATTTTTACCAAAAACCATGGCCTAAGATCCCGATAATTTAATATTCATACTTTAGATTGGCCCTGGTATCTAAGATTGTTTGTTTTTTAGATGACACAATATTTCCATAAAAAATACATAGATCGGTAGTGAAATATTTGCTCATTAAATATCTAGGCCGTGACGAAACTTAAATATTTCACAGATAACATGTTTTGATAACCGCAAAACTAATTTAAAGATAGTTACAAATCCATAGATGCATTGATAAAACATAAATTTGAATTTTTTAGATTGGCCACGATAGTTCTTATAAGCGATCATATAATACATATTAACAATGCAATAGCAATATATTATATGAGAAATCAAAAGAACCAGATGTCAGATGATATTAGTGTACGGTAGGTACACTGTTCACGGCATCAGGACTGGCTCGCGCGGAAATGTATTATAATAATAATAATATCGTATATACACGCGCATAATGTTTTACGTATAATATTATGGGTGTTGGGGTTATATACGGTGTACAACATATGTTCAAGTCACAAGACGTGTACAAGTGTATATAACTAAAACACTCGCCGTCAGTGCGTCGTAGTAAAATGCCGCGGTTATACGTAGTTATATTGCATATAGTTATTTTCGGTCTCGACAGAGAATGTCCCAAGTCAGCGTATAATATAATATAGTCTGCGCGAGTCGACTCCGGCCGAGGACTAGCGCGTATATTACAATATATAAATAATATATAATGTACCATAATAATAAACGCAGCCTCGCAGTGTTCGTATTATATTAAACGCCATGTGTGTGTGTGTGTGTGTGTGTGTGTGTGTGTGTGTGTGTGTGTGTGTGCGCGCGTATATATATGTATACAATATATTAATAATATGTATATACTTTGGTACAATTTATATATATACATCCATTCGCCGGCACGGCGTATAACACAAAGACTCGTCCGTGTAGTCGTCTCGTCGTAATACAATATCGTTCGGGCGTAAAAAGCGCTCTCGGATGTCTCGTATAACGAAAATAAGGGTCATCTCGTCTCGTCTCGGTGAGAGCCGAGTGTGTGCTGCAGCCCATCATTCCGCGCGTGTGTATAATATGCGACGGGGTAATAATCGCTACGTTCAGATGTACCTATACGGCTATACCTACACCTATATTGCCGGGTTAGTTTCAAATTCCCGATTACAATGATATGTAGGTGTATAATATTATATTAAATATATTATGTACATAGTGCACCTATAGTGGAGGTAAATCAAATATAGTCGCCTGCTGCGGGGCTGCAGCTACCGCGACGATGTTTAATAATGTAAAGGTTATCACCACTCAACACTCGTGTAATCATGAAATATACAAGAATTAGACCCCGTCGGCATTATTATGTTTGACATTTAAATCCTTAATTTCCTATAAAATAATCCTATGGATTTTAGAATCTAAGATATTGTCCACCACTCTTTTGGAATATAGTTACCTACCTAATACCCGATTCCTTAAAAGTTATAACTTATAACTATTGAAATAGAAATCTCACGACTCACTTCTCACTTCATGTTATTTTATTCAATTTTAGATCGTACTTTATAGCAATATCATATTGTTCTTTTATATATTTAAGCCTAAGACACTAATTTAGACTGAAAAAAAGTTATAATAATTAATTAGCATATCTAACCTGTATTGGATAAATCGGATACTCAAATTCAAAATAGCCATACACTAGGACCATTCGTCATAAAATGTTATAAATTGTGATCTGATACTGCAGAGTGCAGTAGTTAACTGTCTACGGTTATTACTTATTAATTATGAGTTATTATATAACATGAGTTTTAAATGTTTAATAGAATATAAATGACTAAATGCATATTAATATTTAAATGTTTGTAATAGACTCACCAGTACAGCAAATGACATGCGGATGGTGTGACAAAACGTTAATAGCCAAAGCGTTTACATTCCGCACGGCAGAATCGGACAACGAGAAAGTGTTTTGTTCCGAACAATGTTTCTCGCACTACCGTAGAGCGAATTTCAAACGAAATAAGACATGCGACTGGTGCAGACATCTGAGACACACAGTCAACTGTGTTGATTTCCAAGACGGCGATCATCAGCTACAATTCTGCAGGTGACAAACGTAAAGAGTTTTTAATTTGATTTTATTTCAAACACACCGCGTAATATTAAAATAATTGCAATTTCTGTGTTCGTATCAACAGTGATAAATGTCTGAACCAGTATAAGATGAACATCTTCTGCAAAGAAACTCAAGCCCAGCTAGAATTGCACCCTCACCTACAGAACACTTCGCTGCCAGAAAACCTGTGTAAAACCATAGAGCCGAACTTGCCACTCATTACACCAGACCTATGGCTACGCGATTGTCATTCACCGCCACTTCCAGACCGGTCACCGTCCCCTCAAAGGTCTCATTCCCCTCCAACACCTGGACCGACAGTTCCTCAGCTACGTATATCCAATAAACTTTTTGACCGTCAAAACCGAAAACGCAAGAGACCGACTGCCGAAGACACTGTGCCACCTGTTTACCCTAAATTTCCACCACATGCGCCAGTTTACTGCACACCACCGAATTGTAGGTCTCCAGCATTCACACAATCCCAGTCGACAAATGGCAGCATACCAACAAATGCTGATCCAACACCTTCGCCACTTTACCCATTGAACTTGCCACCATCGTTATTACCACCACCTATGATATTAGTCCCATATCCTATTATGTTACCAATACCAATACCAATTCCTATACCCATACCTTTACCATTTTTACAAAAAGAATGTGATAAAAGCAGTAATAAGGAAAAAAATGAAAAAAAATGATAATTATGTACATCATAATAAACAAATTACTTTGAATAATATTATAAATACTATTATTATTATCATTATAAACACTTAACAAACAATATTTGATTATAAAAAAAAAATTAGTTTTACTATTTTAATGCAACCAAAAGTATTTCATATTTTGTCATATGTAAAACAGATAAATTTAGAACCAGAAAAATTATTACAATCTAATAATTATAAGTTATTCAATGTATAGGATAATATAAGATTATTTTATGAGCTATTTATCTCAGAATAAATATTTTCTTCTTGTGTTTTATCATCGTCTTCAGCACTGCTCTTATCTTTATTGGCGTCGGGTACCCATAATCCAGAATCTACACAGCGCTTCATGTAATAAGTAGCATCTTCTTGGTTCATGTTTTTAATCGTATCTTGCAGCAACTGAATATCTTGCGATTCGAAACATTTTTTCAACTCCTAAAACAAATATTGTACATAAATAACTTATTAACTGTCTATAATTATCAATAGACTTCTTACATCTGGAAGACTCTCAAAAACTTCAACTGGATCAAGACCACCTGGTCCTATTCTTGCTTTTCGTTCTTCTTCTTCTATTTCAGCTTGAGCTATACGTAACTTTTCCTCGGCTCTTTTTCGGATACGATCTTTAAACATGTTAAGTTCATCTTCGAAAGAATCTTTGTACTGTTTCTCAGCTAATTGTATTCTTAAAAATTAAATTTGATTAAATTATGCATCAATATTAATTTTATAATTGCAAACATAAATTTATTGTAGAGTATACGAGTTTGATTATTAATTATCACAACAAGATAAGTAATGAACTTAAATAAAAAAATCTATAAATTATAAAATTAATTTTAAATGGTTATAGCATACACTTGATCATACAATTTAAGTTTCAAAAAAATGTTAGAAATATACCAATTAAGCAGTGTGATAGATAACAAACAAATTATAAAAGTACCTTGAAAAAAAGGATGGTACGCATGCTCTTGGATCAATATTTAGTTGTCTGGACAGTTCCAAAATATATTGCATACAAATTGTTTGATGTGCTACATGTTCCATTAGATCCGATTTCTAAAGGGGAAATGAATCAAATAAATATATGTTAATAATATTGATTTTCAAAAAGAACTTACGCCCTCCATTTGTAAATCAATACACCAAATAACCAAATAATTTGCCGTGTCTTCGCATACAAGTTGAGGATTTTTTTGCAAATATTCTTGACTGTCTTTATATTTTTTGAACATACCAAATACTTTCAATTTACTCTTATTTTCATTAATAAATGTTTCTAATCGTTTGGCTTTTTCTTCTTCAGTCATATTTTCTTCGGTTGGTGGAGGTTTAGGGGTGTTCAGAATCGTCTTTGTAAAACCTGGTTTACTTATAGTATCAACATTCCATGGCATTACCTTATAAAAATTATATATAATATATTAATTCAAAACACACATTATAATTTAGTTTATTATAGCCATTTGGTTATCTAATAAACCACTTGCTTTAAGCATAAAATATTTAATAAAGACAACCTTTCCCTCATTGGGAATATTAGATTGTGAACACATCTTTTGAATTACAAGAAATTAAAAACAATACAAGATATTGATATATAGTGTCATGTTAAACATTTATTATATACAGTAAACAGACACCGACATTGAGCAGAAGCAATTCAAAAGGACATACATGATGATTCATGTGTTAAGTGAAGAAAGGTTAACAATCAGACAAATCCTCTATCTTAGAAATATACAGATATATTATTTATGAATTTATCATTATTATTACAGACTTTAGCCTTGTAATACTATAATTTAGAAACCAAGTTTACTGAATTTTAAGTGATTGGTAACAAATTCGACACCTATCGATAAAAGAGATACTTCATCCTGAATGATAGTGTTTCATTTACAAAAAAACATATAAGTTGACAAATTTTCTAGGCCAGACTGGAGAAATACAACTTAACAGGCTGAAACACGCTGCAATCAAATGTAAGTACCAGTCACTGAGGTCCAAGCCTAAACATTTCTCATCATTGTATGGTCAATTGTTGATCAATCAGGCATGCACCAATAAATAATAATAATGAATGTCACCATAGCAACTGATAACATTATCAAGAGTAAAAATAAAATGGTTAAATGAAAAATAATTAGAATATAATATCTATGGTGTTGCAAAATAGTATAAAGTAGTCAACTACAGATAGATAATCAGTCAAAAGACGTGTTCTCATAAATACAATGAAATTTGTAAAAGATATTCATGGTTAAATGTTAATACCTTTTCTTTAACTTTGAACTCTTCTTCTCGTTTTTTTAATTCTTGTTCTTCAACACTTAATGCACTTAATGCTTCTTCAAGTTCTTTTTTATTTTGTCCTTCTTGTTCAGCTGCCAAAAGTTGATTCTTAGTTTGTTCATACTTTTCTTGAAAACTAAAGCAATTATATCGCTACAAATTACTACTGCTCATTTGTTAAATTAATGAAATATTTTACGTTTTCTTCTTAATTTCCAATTCTTGTTGTTCACGTTTAATATCCTCCATGCGTTCGACACGGGCCTGATGCCTCCAACGAAACAATGACGGTGTGTCAATGTTAGGGTGGGTTTCATCTTCATCGTCGGACACCTATAACATATGAACAATAAACATAAGAATGATCCAAAATGTATAGATATGAGATTACATACTTCAATATTCTTCCACTTGCTATAATCAACCATTATAGATGGATTATTTTGTCTGGGTGTACACGATTCAGAACTATGAGATAATCTATTCAACAGTAATAATAATTATTAAACAACTTACAACCATAGATAATAAAGATATCTTTATCGCCCACAACACGATATTCGTAAGACACAACTATTACCTGAAGAGGTAGAATAATAATTAAAAATTAATAAATATTTTATTACGAATTAACAATTGTTTTATTTTAAATCAGTATAGACTATGGTGTATTGCAATATATAAAATGTATTTTACTATAGAGACATAAAGCTATTAGAACAATTAAAGAGCATAAACACTATAGACATTAAACTTCACAAGGAAAAACACATATGCACAATATTCTGGGATTATTATTTATTAGCGATTCTGGAACATTCTTAATTTGTTATCTATACCAACATCGTGGAGGAGAAAGTGCAAATTCCCAAAATGACTACCGTGGTAAGTTTATTGACGAAAATATGTTTATAATAGTACCATGAACATTATCAAATTATCAGTAACATATGTTGTTATTTACAGTCATAGACATATTTATAATATTGTCTAGTGACTAGTTGTGTATTGTTGTTTATATATGTCTATGTTTACAGTCCCGATTTCAGTGGCGGTTTTGATAGAACATCAATGGGGGCCGGGGGGGGACTATTTTCAATTTTTGGGTCTCTCCCCACCATAATTAAAGCAATTCAAGCATTTAGTGTAATTTTAATAAAAAAAAGGACATGCACAAAATATCCAAGGGCGGGTGAGCGCCCCCTTCGCCCCCCTCCCTAAAAACCGCCAATGCCAGATTTCCAGAACTTTTCTGATCTAGTCTTGACTGGAGTCTGCACTCTGCCTCTGTGGCCCGGTGCCCCGGTTATGTAGTCGGTGAACTTGTCAATGCTCTGCACTCTGCAGTTCCCATTATCCATTTGACATTTCCCACTCACCACCACGAATTAAGTTATACTTATTCTATATTATTATTCGTGCTCATCACTCACTACTCAAAGATTATAGATTAATAGAAAACATGAAAATGTTTTATTGTTCATATATTTTTATTAGATGTAACTGATGCCCATGTAAGCAGGGACGTAGCCAGAGGGGGGGTCCACGGGGTCCGGACCCCCCCCGAAATGTCATCGACGAAATTTTTTTTAAACGTATACCAAATAGCTGGGTATGAGGTAGATGACTATAAACCCACGTATAATCGTATAAACTATAATCTCTATAATAACCATGTTGATAAGAAATGACACAGTACTAATTAGTAGGTACCTAAGTTAAGATAGATTTGTAATATAATAATCATGATTGTCCTTTATCAACTGACTAGATCGTAAACTTTATCTTTTATTGTTATACTAATCGTATCGTGTATACAATTTAAAGCAAAATATATTATACCATACTCGTCTGTCGTCAGTCGATGTTTGTCTACTTTCATATAAACGTACCTACGGTAAATTTTATTTCGTTTTATTTCTGTGCTCGTTTCTGTTTCGTTTTTTGTTTTATAATAATCAAATATGAAGAGAGGAGCACTTGACAATTTTTTTAAACCTAAACCAAAAAAACCATTTACTGGTGCGCTTTTAAATCAACATGAAAGTCAAGAACATAATCAACCAGTGTGCAGCACTGAAAAGAAAGAAAGAAAGAAAAAGAAGTGTTGAATATAATGGCAAAATCAAAAAGAAAATTATTATTATAAATTTTATTATATCTATGTTATATTTATACCTACATTTTTTTTATTTATACGATACTTTTTTTACAATATGTAGTATGTACATAACATAGCTAGCATAATATAGTAACTAGTAAGTCATTACGAATTTAATTTTTGATTGATTAATAATAGAATGGTTAAAATTAGTTATTATTATTTTTATTTTTTTATTTTTTTTGGTTTGACCCCCTCCGAAATAAAATCCTGGCTACGTCCCTGCATGTAAGCACTTACTATGAGGTGCAAAAATTAAATATTTTAAAAACAGAGATGCAATTCGAAAAAACTGTTATCGATAAAACAAAATTGCATTGGAAATTGGAACACTCATGAACCATTAAATTTTCTACCTCATGCTGTTAACTGGTTATAGGAGCAGCAAAAGAACCGCTTCGCTCCTCAAATAATGTCATGTAGGCAATGCTCTAGTGTCAGCCTAGTAATGGCAGGAAGGCAGGGATCCCAGCTTGGGCCCCTATCGGTATGACCATGTAATAGATACGCAGGGCCGTTGTTTCTTGTCCACGAAATATAACACTATATGCTAAATGGACATACCGATAGAGATTAACTATATTAACTTGGCTCCCCGATTTATAGTGGAAACGGGCTATTATTTAAATTACATTTAGCTGCCGGGCCATCATATGAACAAGGCTTGCTTACGCTTACGATTATTATTTATTCTATACATAGATTGTTAAATAAATAGGTAGCTAAGGGCAGTTGCGGAACTATAATTTTCAAAATTTTCAAACTATTTTTCAGTTATAAATTCATAAAAGTTTTTCCTTTCATAGCTAACAAAAGAAAAAATGTCAATAGAAGATTTACCACAAATTGTTCTGCCTTAAACAAAAAAAAAATACCGGTATTATGGTTTATCATTGCATTCAAATACAACACACACATTGCAATGGTATTGAAAAAGTTTAAAATATTCATAAATGTCTTACTATTCACACCGTTTTATACAATTTCTCTTTTTGTATAGTAATACAGATAACTACATAAAGTTATATGCATATATATATTAATTGATTATTATAATTAATGTCAATTTACAAGTCATGGGGAACTTTTAAATACCTTAAATAAATTGTTTTTATTTATTTGTTAGTATAACATATTTCGTATGTCAGATAATTGTTTTTTGTCCCTGATATTTCGGGGGGGGGGGGGGTTAGCGCCCTCCTCCCCCTGCGTTCGCCCCTGTCCAAGACTAAAAGTCCAGTACAAATTTGAGTTAAGTACTATTATTTTTTAAAATTAACATACATGCCATATGCATATTACATAACTATATCAAAATTAAATAAAATATAATATCTCATTTTAAACTCAACATTTTAAACTAAATATTGAGAAGTCATAATTAATAAGAACAATTAAATAAATATTGTGATTAGATCCTAAATAATTATAAGAGTTATGACAACAATAAGCCACACAAAGTTAGTGATTTTATTGTAGCAACCACAGCTCCAAATATCCATAGTAAATAATTTCTTTTCGTAATTTTATTCCTACATAGGTATATATGTATATATATATATATTATATATTGTTTGAGATTTTTTTTAGATGGGAGGGGGTGCTCTATTATTTGCGCTTTTTAAAGTTTTAAATACATTTTACGTACCAAATTATTATCAATTCTTCCGAGTTCTTTACCTCGTTTTAAAGTTAAAATTATTTAAATTTTATGTTCTTGTCTATACCTATCTATGCAAATAATAATTGAAACGTTGATTTACAACTTACTATAGTTGAATTTCGATTAAATTATTTTTAAATAAACGAAGTGGCCTATATAATATAAACACCTTTGCTTTTATAAATTTAGAATAATTAGAATATACAATCCAACTAATCCAAGAACGTAATGAAAGTTCACAATTTTTCTCTGAAATAACTGTTTTGTTAATACTGTGTTTTGTCATTATATTTTCGAACCGGGGGAAGAAAAATCATGGGTAAGATTTTGATTCAAGCCATGGCTGTTTTGCTATTTAGTGCAAAATATTCATTAATTAAAATTTTATCGGGATCGGTTTAAAATAATTGGGAATAAATGTTCGGATTCTCTAAAATTGTTTACTACGTCTAATTTTTTTTCAGAATCATCAAGAAGGGTTGTATTTAGATCGACTTGTTGAGTTTTTATTTCTATATATGCTTTCACAGTTATTAAGTTTTTTTTTATACATATATATGCAATTTTGGAGTTGAGCTTAAAATATTTTTTTGTTTTTCGTCCTTAAATATTGACAATGTTTTGTATCAAATTAATCTTTTCTTATACCATCAGCCATTGTTACAATCTAACAATAAAAAATATAATAAAATCAATAAGAAAATATTTAACTTTTTATCAAATGTACGTACTGAGGTAATTGTACAATAACGAAGAAATAAATATTAACAAGTTACTTATTGTCAAGATTTATAATACTGTACGTTATTTTATATTGGAATTAAATATAAATAAATTCGTCATAAATAAAAGATAAAATATACGATGTACAGATGTATGTATTTTATATTTTATCTGAGGGAATGCGTGGGATTGTTACACCGGGCATGCATCGATTGCGTCGAAATTCGCTGTAGGTAAAAAAAGAAAAATCATGGGGTTGAAAAAAGTATACTCCGATTGCGTCGATCAATATTCGAATGTCAATAATTACGTTAATTTTGATAAAGTGGATGTTTGGCTTACCACTCCTTAAAACCGAAAACTTCGGCAATTGCTTCGGAGTTGATTTTATGAATATTAAACCAATGGACGAACGAATTAATACAATTTGTGACTATGTTGTCGATTCATGTATTAATGTAATTAATTATTTTTTCAGCGTATTAATTCCGGTATTAACGAATTATAAATTACATAGATATACAGAGCAGCCCGCCAAGGTTTTCTGGGAATTTCTCTGGCCCAATTAGGGCCCGATTAATGATTTTAGTAATGACTTATGACTTAATGAGCTAAGTCTACAATGAATAATGATTCATCTTTCAAGTTGAACAATTTGATCCCGAGTTTAATATCTACGATATTTTATACATAGTTTGAAACTTGGAGTCATGTGTGTTGTGAACTCGTGCGTAGTTAGTAGTTACATCTTAGTTTTGGAATGCGATGGGCTAAACTGGTTAAAAATCATCCCCCGTAATCCCGCACCGGGATAATGAACCATGTCAACGATATGGTCCAAACATCTTGGTGACTGTTTTTTCACACCGGTTAACGAATTTTTGGAGTACCAATCTCTCTCAGTATGTTACATAACTGTAAGTAATATATTTTTTAATTTTATTTTCCGTCCGGAAATAATAATTAACAATATTTATATACATTCACAGCCGATGGTGTACGTTTACACCGGGACCAGTCAGTATGCACAGCGCATCATCATCATAATTCATAAAATCACTACAAGGTGTAACGATAATTATAGGTAATAATTTAATAATATTACGTTATAATATGCCCTATGACACCCTCTGCATTATCGATGCGCGCGTCGTACTATCACTTTCTCCCCACAACCGTCACGGCGAACTCATAATGCCAGTATGCCACCCTCTGTACGAGATCATGCTAAAAAAATAATAAAACACCCTCGAGCCCCAACGTCTGTCGTCATTGTTTTTTTTTTTATTATTCATCAAAGATCGAACCCCCGCTTTGTTCCATCAGCCGCGGCCCGAAAACTATCCTCCACAGGCACTGCAGGCTGGCTGGCGGCTACAGCTGCTGCTCAACCAGGCACCGGGTACCGCGAAAAAAAAAAAACAACAATTATAGTACGCGCGCCAGTCGCCGCGGTGTCCGGCGTGATTGTCGGTCTCGTATTATCGTTGTTTTCCCAGTATCCCATTCCCCCTCAGCGGCAGCAGGCTCAGCATCAGCGGCAGCTGCGCGAACGCGAAGCGATATCGTTATAATCGTTATTATTATTAATTACGTAATAGCTTATAAATGTCGCGAGTCGTGACGTCGTCCGCCGACAGGAATCCGCGTTGCTAGGTATATAGATAGTTCGTCATCTGTCGGGAAAACCGTCGCGTACGATAACTCTAATCGGCGGCAATCTGCATGCACCACGACGATGTACGGCGGTGCAGACCGACGGCGGCGGCGGCGACGACATGATTGCGATTGCGATAACGACTAACGACGCTTTGGGACGACAGTCTTTAGATCTATGAGGGGCGAATCTGCGAGTGGCGATTGGGTGTCCGTCCGGGGTAACGGCGACAACTACTGCACAGTCCGTGGCCGGCGATCGTAAACACGACGCGGTGTTATCGATTGTCGCTCGTGATCTCGCACGATCATCGACGAAAGGTATCAGTCTCGACGCAGGATGATCGAAATTGGCGGTGTACCGTTTCTTCTAGAGTGCCAACGTCGGAGACAAAAACTGTAGTGACGACGACGACGGTGCCTACTCCCTCGTTAAATAGTAGCGAAAAAATAACACAACGACAATGGATTTGGACGACGTCAACGGGACTGCTCAGACCGAAGGTAGGGCCTTACCTTTATTTGTCGTTTACTCGTTTACCTTCCGTCTGACTGACGCCTATGTCTGACAATGATTACTGTGTTTCAGGTAACTACAGTTGTTACGACGGCGGAGGCTGCGGAAACAACACAGCTGTAGCGCCCTTGGGTGCCGTGCTGGACTCTATCACTGTGGCCATGCTCAGCCAGACGTGTTTACATTCGGTGTTCAACCATCCTTATTTTCATTTTTCACATGCCATCATGTTTATTTGCTACATGCTACCATTTGGATCTCCTTGTCAGTTGATTCTCCTCATTCGCATTGGCCTGGCCGGTGCCACTACCATTATGGCGTTATGGGCTAGGAATGTCCAGTGCTGGGTTGATAGCCTTTTATGGAATGCTGCTTCTGCTACTGTCAATGTCGTACACATTTTAGTGTTATTCTATCAACTCAGGCCAATCAAATTTAACGATGAATTAGAACTAGTAAATTCATTGATTTTTTTTCATAAGTGGATAAGTTTTCTTTCTAATCCACACGTAACATAGCAAATTTGTGTTAAGCAGAGCCAACCATGTGTTATTCATTTTAGAATAATAGTGAATTAACTTATCATCAAACTTACAGTTAAAAACATCTATTCTCCTTTATTGGCTTTTTTATGATATTTCAATTTTAATTGGAGGTATTAGTTATATGTAAGTAAAAATAATAAGTTAGGCAAATGTTAGTAAAATATGATAACATTTGAAAAAATACTCTATAATATATGGATGCACAATTAGTATTCTTGACTTTAAATTTTATCCTTCGTCAAGTAACTAATACTAAAGCTAACGACACTAGGTTGGTTCTACTGAACCCAAATTTGCTATGTTGCATGTGGGTCAGAGAGAGAATATAAATTATGCGTTGACATTCTTTTAAATTACTTAATACTTTATTATACATTTTTAGGTGTACGAAACGCTTTTCTACCCTTTAAAAGTTAGCCGTAAACAATTTAGGAAAATAATTTCCTGCATGAAAATGATACGGCCTCTAAAAACTCTTGAGATATTTGCTGAAGAAAAAGTAACGAGGGTTGACAGCTTATCATTGGTACTTTCAGGAAAGTAAGTGTAACTCAAGTTTCCTTATGAATAATTATTAATTGTTTAATACTCAAGTTCCATGACTTATATCTAGACTGTGTGTACAATGATTATAATAGTATAAAATTGATAATTATTTTTTTATTTTTTACATATTTACAATACAATAGGTAAAAATTATTGTCTCCAAAAGCCTAAGTTTATGGAAGAGATAACAGTGCTTGTACATATTTATCTGTATTGACACATCAAATTTTAACTTAATTATTTTTTATTTTAAAAAAGTAGGTAATTAATAAATAACTAAATTAATTGATTAAATACATGAAATATTAATTTTTAACCTTCAACATTGGGATGTAATCTTAAATTTCTTAAAATAAAATAAATGTTATGACAAGAAGGAGGTAGTTAATCATAGGATCACAAAAATAATTATTTTTAATTAAGATTATACTGACTACGGATTTGTTCTTTTGATCACAAAATATATTCTTGTATTCAAGACATAAAAAACTACATTGTCTGAAAATCTTAGTCCAAGAGACACAAATTTGAAGGAACTTTAATTTGGAAATAAAAGATATTGTTAGGAATTCTGAAATTTGAACCAACATAAAAATAAGTATGTAAATGTTGTGCATAATAATTTACATTATTTGTATGATTTAAGATGTCTTTGGAATTATACGTCCTAATAATTAATATTAGTATACACTTAATTACATTAGTTGTTTTATTTTATGCTAAAGATTAGTAATATCACAGAACGGCAATGCTCTGCATATTGTCTTCCCCTATCAGTTTCTAGACTCTCCAGAGTGGTTTGGTGTATCTACTGATGAATTCTTCCAAGTAATAAATTATATTGTATAGATATAGCAATTATAAAATAATTAAAATTAAAAATAATTGTAGGTATCAGTCACTGCGGTAGAAGATTCCAGGGTATTATTATGGCATAGAGACAAATTAAGATTGTCAATAATTACAGATAAATTTTTATACACTATTTTTGATCACATTCTTGGTCGAGATGTTGTAAAAAAGCTTATGCAGGTATCTATAATTTTAATATGTAAATTATGTTTACTATTTCCTTTAATTAATGTGCGTCACATGAAAGTGTAAAAGTAACTTGACTTGTTAATACGTTCTTAGGTAAGTGAAACTATGTCTAATGGCCATTTACCTAATCAGTGGTATGACGGAGAAGAAGCTGAAATGGCAAATAATGTAAATGATGAGAAGCAAACAGTTCTTTATTTAAAGCGTAATGGTGATGGACAAGCAGGCATTGAAACTATATTGAAACGAGAGCTACAAGGTATGTATATTCATTAAAAAACTAAATAAACAGTTTTTTAATGACTGTCTATATAATATGTATATGTTCATTATTTTTCATTTGAAGTTAGTTTAATGCAGTGGCGTCGAAGTCCATGCAAACGTCGGGCCACGGCCCGACCTCTTTTTTTAAAAATGTGGCCAGACGACCACATTTTATTTACATCATAACTTTATTATGTACATGAGTATATTAAATCCACGTCACTGTAATTCCGAGTAAATATATAATAGAGCAGGTACTTCTATATTAAATAATTAATATATTGAGGCCGCAAAGTTTCGAAATTGCCCCACCACATTTTCAAAACTTCGGCGCCACTGGTTTAATGTAATATAAGTTGTAACTTATCTTTATGGCGCATAAAAATAAAATAATCATTCAAAATACTCATATAAAAAAATCTTTATATCAATATAAATTTATAATTCCATTGTTTTGTCCAATACCTAATGAGCGTGTTAAAATTAAATTTATGTTTCATATCAACCCACCTCCATGTATCTATATAAAATTTAAGAAATGTAAAACTTACTTTATAATTTTTTTCACTTATTATTTTTGAAATTTTGTTCAGAAAAAAACATTGAAAAAAGTCTACCATTAAATATATTTGATATTCTTCATTTATTAAACTATCTATTAAATTAAACTAAGATCAATAAATAATAGTATTTATAGTTTATAACTTGGTACAAATTGTCTAATATTTTGATTATAAATAGTATAAGAAATAAAAATAGAAATACAATTCTTTTTTAATCAAGATATGTTGAGTATTCATTACATATATTGATTATTTAATAATTGTTAATCACTTAACAAATAAATTGTGTGAAACTAAATAAATATTATTTTATTGCTTTGCAATTTAATTGTTAAACTCAACCATCTAAAGGTAAGGAGCATTTGTGTTTTGTGCTTTTCATTTCTATGATTTTGTATTTTCTATTCTATAAGACATGGTTATAACAACTGCAAATTACCAATCATATTAAAGCTGAACTGTATTTTTATCTTCTTCTGGATTAAGATGTAATCTATAGAATTACAATTTTGAAATTTTATAAAAAGGATAGTTACATAAAAAATTAAGAAGTATAAAAATAATATTTATAAAAAATAGTGTTAAGGGTTTTGGGTATTAGTGACTATAATAATCTAATAATAGTTATTTTAAAAATCTAGTTTATATAATTTAGTTTTTTATTTTTGTGAGTAAAATAGAAAACCAAAAAAAAAAAATTGAGTATAATACCATAACATTTTCGTATTCAAACATTCTTCTATCATGCCAAAATGGTAAAAACCAAAATAAAATTTAAGTGATCAAAATTAAACAATTGTTTAAATTGTTTTATAAATTATTAAATTCAAAAAAATTCCACTGAAAAATTTTAGATTTTAATTCATATTAATCTGAAATGCATTTAAGATTTACTTAGCAATAAATTGTAACAGTAAAAAAAAAGTTGTAAATGCAACAACATATGTGCCCTAATCATTACTATTACTATATTTTTGGAAAACTGAATTTGAATATTAAAAATTTAAATTTACATTAAAATATTATCTATTTCTTTAACAAAATGGAATTTACTATTGATTTTTTTTTTATTTATCTTACTTTATTGTAGTTTATGTGTGATTATTTTTTGACAAATTTTTTTAAGTATGTTACATATTTTTTTGCTCTGTAAAATATGTTTTTAGAACTACATTGTTTTTTTTTCTTAAGCATGTATATTTACTGACAGTAATATGTTATCGAATTAGTTTTTGCATGATTTACTTGTGTTATTATCAGAGAATGAAAACGCATGCCTGGAACACTGTCCATTGATTAATGACCAGTCTTCGTGGTATTCCCAACAGACTCTACATAACGTGTTGAGAACTCTGCACAGATAGCAACATTAAGTAAGTGTAGTATGAGTATTACAGAATGTGTATATTGTCTGTTTGTTGGCTATTCTTAATTATTCATTACCACATTTTATGGTTGCGGGCACGTCTATATGTGTGTGTGTGTGTGTGTGTGTGTGTGTGTGTGTGTGTGTATCATATATATTGTATTATACTTTGGTGAACTGGATAGATATTTTTATTTTTGTTTATTTAACATCAAAACATTATGTATAAAATTTTACAAATGTGTTTGAATAAATAATATATCAATGTTGATACCTACTGTGGGATCAATGTTTGTGGTGAGAGTAGGGAGCCTAACTAACTATACTAAAGGTACTTAATTAGTTAACTGATACAATAATTATTAGTAACTAAAGATTTAAAAGTAAAATACTCACAAATATTATACATATACATATACATATACACTTATTACACATTAACATGGATTGCTGTTGCTTAACGCCTGAATGTAATTAGTTTGCCTCTGTATATTATGATTTAATATACATAATGACCATATTATAGCTTAAGGTTAAACAATATTTTATTTTTCTATAGATCTAGCTGTAGTTACAGAAATATTAACTAAAATAAGTTCAATATGTTCAAGAAATATTGGCCAATACTTCATTAATATTTTGTTTGTTTAATCAATTCGATTTTGTTATAGGCGACCCGAATGGCTGGAAATTGAGTAGGATTGAAGAAGTTGACCATGAGACTCCAGTGTAAAAAAAAAATATAAAATATTCCTTAAACAATTAATAATCTTGTGATCTTAGGATAAGTTTATATCTGTGTTTTCTTTTTAACTTTGACACTTTGGTGTTATTTTTTATTTACCTCTGTCAGATTTGATTTTTGGCACTTATCGAATTTAACAATCACTGTAGTAATATCAATCTATTTTATTAACTTTTCTTGATGTAAGATTGAAAAAAAAGAAAATTTATTGACAATGTTTGATGAACCAAACAAATATTACTTGTAAGCTAGCTCTTTGTTTTCTTTGAGTAATAACATAAATTTTGTTTTGTTTCAAAAGTACTGATATTCAAATGTTTTAATTAATAAATATATTACATGTTGTTTATTGTTGTTCAAATACTATAATGTATTAATCATTAATATGATAATGTATTACTAAAGTGATATTTATAAAAGTAACTAGTCCATTATTAATTATTATAACATTTGTATGTAATTGTATATGATATATAATACATAAAAATTATATAGAGTGTCCCTTGATCCTCAGGACATTATGATATGCAATGTAAACTTATAAAAATCCAATTAAAACTACTAATAAGTAATAATAACAATAATAATACTCCTATCAACAAATACTTGAGGCATTTGGGCACTCTATGCTTTATAATATGTATATAAGGTGATCTAGTTAACACAATTGTGTGTTAAATGGATCATCTGGTATTACATATTTTATTGTATGAATATTGTTATAATATATACCAATAAAAATTGTATTGTAATTGTACAAAATCTTGGTTAAAAAAAAATTAAGTGTGATGAATAAAATAAAAATTTATGTTCAAATAATTTTTTTTTGTATAACCTTTTTGAAATAATCAATTAGTTCATGGGGTATGAATGCTGGAAACAATCAACGTTTAGTTTTTATATTAAGGCTAAAATAGTCAAATAAATTTCCTGAGTAAACCTAACATCAACATTTATTGTTAGTCAAGCTGGTACTTGCCAAACGCAAAGTAATTTTAAAAATACAGTTAGGTACTCAAGGTACACAAAAATTGAGATATAATGCAAAATGGCCAATACCTTAAATTATTCTATTTTAAATACAACTATTAATTGTTATAGAAGAATAATTTTTAAAATTTGAAATCAATGATTAGACATTCAATACCAAATTAAGTAGGTATGTACGTAACTAATAAAATAATACATAATGATTAATTTAATTTAATTTGAAGGTACATAGCATATATAACTTCTATAATTTTAAACTCAATTAAATAATGTTAAACAGTTGGGGTTTAAAAGGCCATCGCGAACTTATGGTTTTTTAGTTTTTTTTAATTTTTTATATAGGATATTTTTTCAAACGTTTACATATTTTAATTATTTTACTATGTGGTATTATTGGTAGGTTAAACTTCTATTTTAGAATGGATCAATAGGTTACCCAGATCACATTTTTGTATTTAAATCCTGGTAGTCGAGTTTTAGACCAGTAGATATACCTATATAGTTAATAGTTGGTATTGTAATTTAATTACTAAAAAAGTTAAATACCCCTTAATTGTATAGGAAATACCGCTCTGGGGGCCGAATGCATTTCAAAAATTCAACCCTTATAGAATAATGTTTGTTTCAATTTGGCTTACAACAAACTGAAATAGAAAAACCTTTTTTTTGACATTTGAATCGTGAGTGGTGTCGCGGTCTCTTAAATTAATTTAATTATCTAGCTAACCAAAATAAGTGTTATCAATGGGGCTTCTTTCAACGAAATTCCATGACCTGTTAACTTTTACCACATATTCTCATTGTGTCTAGCAATTGTGCCTAACCTAACCTTGATACTGATCGTTTATTACTTGCAAAAATAAAAGTTTTTTTTATTAAAAAACAAATTTTATTTTAGCCTCACGTATTAACAGAATGATGTCATTAGGACATTAGCTAACATAATGTAGTGGTCTGGTGACTACAGGTGTCGTTGAGAGGAATAGGATGAGGTGTATTTAATTAATATGCAACGCTAAGGTATGAGGTAGGTAGTATTTATTATTATTTAATAAAAGAAAACAAATGTTTAATTTGAAACTGTGAATTAAATAAATTTGTGCTAGAATACTTGTCACAAATAGTTATTCAGAGTGTTCAGAAAAATATCGAGTTGAATCTAATATTTTTCTAAGTCCAAATAATAAACTGTTCGATATTATTCCAAGTCCAAAATAATACAATTAAAAGACTGATTAGCTTAAAGGTGCTCTGGCTCATCTGGTCAAATCACATCTGAATATGGGCTATTCGGGGGTCTCCTATATAGGCCTAGGTACCCTCTATTTCTGCCAGCCCTCTTGATACGAGTGTAGTTCCCACGGATGCTGTGTCCGCCGACTATCGTACCGGGAAATACTAACGGCCCACGCCACGATACGACTTTCCTGAGTGCGCATCCTGGACGTCGCAATGTGTATAGTCAAATATCTATTATGTGGTATTCGAGATGACTATACACCAACGAATGATTAATCATAAGCGTGACTTAATATCATCACAGTATTTCTCAGGATCAATAGACTCGTTTACAATATTATATTAATCGAAAATTGCTTATCATCTCTAAACGCTTCGCATCCCCCTTATATTTTGTATAACCTGTACCTACCTGGTTTATACGCATATTGTCACCCCGTAATTACCTTTAAGGCGGGTTAAGGACGTTAGTCTATAACATTACCCCGTCATCATCTCTACCAAGGTCTAACGCGGGACGCGAGTCAATAGCAAAAATTGATATATTTTACGTATTCATTTTATTATTATTTATTAATGCTGTAGCCTGTATCATTGTATCATTATTATTATTATTATTATCATCAGTTTTTATAACTGTCATATTTGTACTACTATATTAATATATTATACACCTATTATATTTGGATCTCATGATCCTTTGAAATTTTAAATACAAATTTTAAATTTTAAAAATTACATCTGAATATCTGATCACAAAGATTTCTGTAAAAGAACATATTATGATTTATAAATAAACCGAATGCTAAGTAAGTATAAAATGTCTATGGATTTATCATGTTATAATGATATATTTATATTATCTGCTAACTGACCCGGCAAACGTTGTTTTGCCATACAAGTTAATAGGTTAGGTTATTACTTATTTCTAATGGACTTACGAAAATTTATAAAAGACATAATATACTATATTTTATATCAGTAAACTATAATAATATTTCTTGGTCGACTATATTATCCGTTCTTTGGTAAGGAGCATATATATAAATACATTTTTTTCCTAGCTTACTCGAGAACATTCAATATAAAATTAGACATGAGTGAAGCAAAGATCTGTATACTATCGATGCTAGTAATTCTTAATGTTTGGCCTTAAGCCTTGTTAATGGTTATCTCGAAACAGTGTTTGATGGGAAATTGAAGGTGCTTGAATTCGAATGGATAGTCACTTGATATCATTGGTATTTTTTGAATATAAACAATATCAAATTTGGTACAGCCAGCCAGAAATTTCACCTCAATAACATTCTTTTTTAAAGGTCTTACTTATTGTGTTATGAATGCGCACTTCGCAACACTACAACAAATAAAAACACGAAACGAAATTACTTTGGCTTACTATTTTATTCTTTATTTAATTTAAATACTGTTTAAATAAAAGAAATGCTCTGGAGTGGTCTGTTATGTGTCTCCGTGATATTACAGAATGATGAAAGATGACAGGCGCGTGGCACGTCTATGGTATATGTATAGTATTACCATTACAATATCTATCATCTATGGCAAAAGCCAATCGTCGTCACTCATCGGAGACGATTCACAATTCTAACAATTTCATTGAACAAAAGAGCGATGTGTAAGGCAACAATAAACATTTACTCGCATATTTCATTCTACTCAAGTAATTCTTATAAAAAATCTCAATTTTTTCAGTTCGGAATTAGATGAAGAAAGAAGTTCCTCGATATGGCGTCTGCACTCGAGATATGGTCTTGCATATATATAGATATTACCCGAAGACGTAAGTTTGATTATACCTATTCTTTTGGGGCTTACGTATTTTACTTTTTAGTCTCAAAATTAAAATTTATTGCTACAGACAATTTGCTACCCAGGTGAAGTAGGGGTATATTTTTTGTTCCCGAGCGCGCAACACGAAAAAATACAAAATCACAAACGACGACGGCATATCCAGGTCGCAGAGTAATAACATATTTATACAATTAAATAGATATAAATAGTGTTGTATAATATTCTGTGGTCGAACCCCGAAATAAAGTGACGCCGACGTACATCAAACATCAAATTATTTTATAAAGCTGGGAAAGTCACTCTGCTGATTATTTAATATCTATCGGAAATTAAATAAGAAAATTTTAAATTTTAAATATTCTCGAATAGCTTAAAATATACCTAACCAATGCACTCAAAATTAATACATAAAATATTAATTATTAATTTAGTGCTCGACAGTATTCTGAGAAAAGATTTAACTTGGAATTTTACAAACTATAGCTGGTATAGTCGGTATACGGTGAATGTGATGCATTAGCCACTGAATACCTTTATGTTAAATCTAGAAAGTAGTAATCACATTTATTTACAATAAGATTTTTATTTAATAACTCATAAAAAATATGCTTGTGCTTCGAATATTTAAACACCACCTTTATTAATTATTAAATTAAAAATTAAAATAATGGGTACTTTTTATATCGTTTTAATTTAAATTTTAAAATTATAAACTATTTTGGTTATTGTCATACCTCATTTCATTATCTTAATGATCAAATCTCAAAGTCGGACCTCCTTGATATAAAATTGTGTAATACACTATAATATATCTATGGTTATATCATATTGACGTAGTATAAATTATAATGCAATCCGTGGTGATTGTCAAAGTAGTTGAAAAGACGCAATCGATCTAAAATTTCAGTTAGCAAAGCTGCAGACATGAACAAGGAACATGAAGCGATCCGTACGGTTTTTTTTTTCATAATAAATCTCAATATTTTCAGACTTAAGTTCAGTCGTAGGTATATCTGATTTATTCCGCAGTGCACACACAATATCAGGAATTCCACCGAAGCCCGAAAGCGTCGATGTTTAAAGTAATTAATTTTGGTTTC